TTTCAACCACAGTAGAAGCTGCAAGGTGGACCGAGGACCATGTCATAAACATGGAAAGGTGTTATTTTGATAGAGAAGAAGGATATTCCTTGAAGACACACAAGCTAAAGATATTTGTTGTAATTCTGTGACCAGGGTGGCCATCGTTAAATGTACATCACTAAATCGCTTGCTCACACCTGTGAGTTTGACACTGTTTTCAACAAATATGTAAATGGCATGAAAATAATATACTCTCTGCATTTGCAGTTTGACTTTGTCTCTAGGTCTGTAGCATAGGCTAACTGCACGGCCTTTGCCTATTGTACATTCTAATTTCTATTTAAGAACTCACTGGTGACTTAGTGTTCTTGGTGACTCTTGTTCCTAAATCTGAATGCACTGCATAGACTGCATCTGTTTCTTTATGTTTTTTGGCCTAAGTGTTACATATTCCAGACTGAATACTGAATCGAGACTAATAAGACATAAAAGATTATTCAAATATTGAGACTAACACATCAGAATACACACACGGTCCCTGTTCTGTTAGATGTGGGTATTGTAGATCATTCTGAACAACAAGCAAGTGCATAATGAGAAGTGGTATCTATCATAAAATGGCTTCTGCTCCATTTCTCGAAACAGATTTTTAAAGAAAGAGCTTTTAGATATCCCGCAGAGACTGTATGTTTGTTTCAGTGGTTTAGAAATCCATCCATTAATTCCTTTTAGTGTGTGACAACACCACCATTCAGTGTTTGTTAACTTCCGTGTTAGCCTTTCAGTTCACTTTCGGGGGAACTGGACGTTCAGAAGTGATATGCATTCACCATATTTCCATTGATGTTTGGGGGATAATTTATATTCCAGAAGCTTATAGCTTACTTTAGTAGATCCCAAGACACAGCTTTCCCTTTTAGTTTCAAAGAAATATTCTAATGTTCTACAGACCACTTGGACAGAGCAGATTAGGAGCAAATTAAAGGTAAAAGTTAAGCAAAGCATAGTCAACTGTCCTTTATCTTCACTTAGTATAGTATTGAATAAAACAGCATATTGAGGATAATTAGTATTTACTAAGACACAGAAGTGATCTAGAAGGGCTGTGACATTTCTACCTATGGTGATACTTTATAGGGTAATCATTACATATTACAGTGGGATATGTGGCAGAATATTGGTTCTGGCTACTTTCCAATGAAAAAAGAATGCTTGCCAAAGTTCAAAGAAACTAAGTAGAAATGTACAGTTGTTATGCCCATATAAACACTAGGTCATTCAAAGGTGGTCTCCAAAGCTAATAGACTCTTTATTTCCATTTGAGCTAGTCCTTACTCTCATGAATTCTGATTATTTATTTATGCCTCGTAAGTTTTGAAATATTAAGAACCTCTTTATATCATTTTGTGGGAACAGAGCTGATCTGAGAAGGAACAGCTGCTGGTGAATGGCTTCCAACCTTTTACATGAGTGTGTGGAACCCAAGAGATTTTCACTGAGATGAATACTGAATACTGTAAACTTGTCTTTACCACACCCAGGGTAAGTGGCTTTCTTTTGTTTCTCTCAACATCAGAGGTCATTTGGCTGCAAAGTAGTAAAATTTTACGCAAAGACTTTTCCTTTTTCCAAACACTCAATACTAGAAGAAGGTTAGGTAAGAAGTTCAGAGAAGAGTTGCTGACATTTTCAAAAGTACTTGGTTAAAACTCATACATTCCCAGTTACTTGTAGGTCTCTGGTCCACACACTTCCAAGATTTTCCCAGTAGTACTTTTTTTTTTTTTTTTTTTTTTTTTTTTTTTTTGGGGGTTGTTTCGAACCGTTGAGCTAAATCCCAACCCCAATAGTACTTTTTTTTTTTTGGTGTTCCAGGGATTGAATTTGGGTCCTTGTACTTGCAAGGAAGGCGGCAGAACAACTGAGCTAAATCCCTGGCCCTTCCCAGTAGTAATATGCAGGAAAGGTGTCTATCAAATACAGTGTCATGACAGCCACTTAAGGGATAGTTGATACAGGGGCAGGAAGTCCTCTGAACTTGTTGGGACATGTCTGGGCAGGATAGGCCATGCACAGCTCCACTCACAGAGCTCCTCAAAGGCATTCAACCGTGAGTTATGAAATATGAATATCAGAGGGCCAGGGATTTAGCTCAGTGGTGCTACCACCTGCCTCACATGCACAAGGTCCCGAGTTTGATACCCAGTACCAAAAAAAAGAAAAAAACATCAGAAAAACAGATACAGGCCCTCTTTCTCCCACTGTCTCCTGATGAGTAGGCCTCTGTGGTGTCAGACAATCTTATTTTCTGCTTTAGAGAAGGGGAACTCCTTTTGTTCTTTGAGGTCATAATATGATTGCTGACCTATGGGGACAACTATATTCATGGGTATTTTGGTGGTGTGCGGTGTAACATGTGAGTAGAAAGGAAATCAGGTTCATGTGGCAAAATTCACTTCTCGGTAGTAGTAACTATGAAGATTTCTAAGGAAAGAAACCTTTTATGAATTTGTGGATTTTTTGGTTAAGTGTCTCTGCTGTGATTTAATACAGTGGTACTTTGGTTCACGAACTTAATCCCTTCTGTGGTCGGAGGCAGATGGTCACGTCGTGTTTGTCAGCTGATGTGGAATTCTTGAACAGTAGCAAAGCTCTGCTGAATGTTTCTGTTCGTGAACTAAATTGTTCACGAACAGAAGCATTGTGAACTGAGGCGCTGTTTTACTGCGCTCCTTGGTCCCAGAGGAGGAGCCAGTGTTGGTAGATGGGGCCTGGGGGGGGTCTGGGCCATGGGGGTGGAGCTTCCTGAAAAGACCAATGTCCTTCTCCTAGGATGGATGAACTCTTGGGTTAGATCCTTTTCTCTCTTCCACCCAAGCCTGCTTTCCTTCTACTTTCCATCATGAGTTGAAGCAGCCCGACACCCACAGCAGAAGACCACACTGGTGCCAGGCTGTTCACCTTAGCTGGCAAAACCACAGCCAAAATAAACTTTAAAACATAAATTATCTGGGCTGGGGTTTGGCTCAGTGGTTCTGCTCCCTGCCTCGCAAGCCCAAGGGCCTGAGTTTGATCCCCAGTACCAATAAATAAATAAATAATAAATTATTCAAACTCAGATATACAACAGCAAGAGAAAGCAGGTTAAAAGAACTTCAGCCTTTAATTGTTCTATGCCTCTGAAGAACAGTGGAAAAGTCTTCCTAAGAAAAAAAGACTCTGTATCTGAATTCTTACTAAAGGAAATCACAGATGTTTTAGAAATGTAAGCAGCAAATAGGAGCTTGAGGATAACTGCAAAGGTAACACTTTAAGAGAAAACCAATTAATAGGAAATAATACCAATAAATTATGTTTGCAACTCTTGGGAAACAGAATGTAGTGCTCAGTGGATAGAGTCAGCTGCTAAGTAACTCAGATTTTAACCTACCGGCAAATCATTTACCTTCTCATTAGATTCAATTTCATTATCTGTAAAATGTAAACTATAATTACTATTTATCAACTTTGTTAGAAAAAGAAGGAAATGTGTTATCATATAAGTGGATAGTGGGATATACAGAACTACAGAAAGTTAACAAAAGTCAACTCTTAGCCTGGACTTTTTAGTATTCAATTGAAAAAACAAAAATAAGACAAACTAGATCTTGGATATTAGTTTTGCTTTTAGCAGATCTTTGCAGCCTGTACTTGGAACAATGAGTGTGGAATAGGCTATTTAATTGAATGCAAGCATTAAGAAATTCAGAGGAGAAAATGACAAGAAAACAATCGAGTCTTGTAATTATAAAAACTTTATTTCACTCTTACATTAGTTAAATCTTTAGGTGCACATGTCATGAACCAGTAACCTAGAATGAAGACACGGGAGTAAAACTGCAAGCTGCGAATGTGGCCTTACAGCTACACAGGGCATGGGAACAAGATCACATTTGGAAAGGCTCACTTGGGCATCTCAGGACAATGCACAGAACAGGACCCTGGCTTTGATTTCTTCATAGTTTGTGCTCAGAACCCAAAGCTTGTGCTCGTAAACACGAAAAGAAATATTTTATCTCCTTGACAGTTTACAGTTTGCTGAAATATGACCCTGAAAGTATAAATGTTGCCATCTTGGTTTCTCTGGCCACTCGTGGCCACAGGCTGAAAGGATGAGTCCTTGAAAATGTGGAACAATGTTTAAAGGCTATCTCCATCACTGTTCAAGTCACCAGGTTCGGAAACCTTTTCATGTGTGTGTTTCTCCTATGTGACCACCCAACCGTTATTTACCTAGTGAAATTGTGAAAAATTATATATTGTTCAGCAAAATGTTTTAATTTGGTCCTCTATCAAAAGACAATTGACAAGGTGTTTTAGATATTTTAAATTCATAAGCATGTACACGAGAGAATCACTATAAAGAACGTTGCTTCCTGGTTTATGAATAAAAAGTTTATCCTCTACTTACGCTAAAACATACAAAAAATAATCTACAAAAATCGTTTACAATTGATTTTAGCTAAAGAAAAAGCTCTCTTCAGAAACAAAAATGATTGTGTGGTGTAGTATTTTAGCCATCAAAAAGGAACGTAAGTAACCAATAAATATAATGTGCTTTCTCCATATAGACATATTTACACTTGAGTCTTTGGCTTATGTTATTGTCTAAAAAAGAACTTTAAATGATCCAGCCATCACTGCACATTAAACGAAAGTAAGCCAGTTATATATATTTATATATTTATATAGAGATCCGCTACAATGGGAATATGTAAAAAACGAAATCAACTATGAATTTGCACAACTTTTCTTTTCTTCTTCCTTTCAGGATTGAACAGCTTTCATTTTAAAAAGGGAGAAAACTGCCACATAGAAAGAATGAGCCCATGCAAGGTGTGGTGGTCGCTCTACTAAAACTAGCAGAGAAAAGGCTGCGCACTCACAGAACAAACATTGTGAGTTCCACTTGAATTGGATCTTATCAAATATAATTTACGTGGCACTAAATGTCGGTGCTTTAATACAGTCACAGAAACTCATCACATCCTTTTTATTCAGATACACAATTTCATAAGAAAAATACTTTCACCTCTCAAATGTAAAAGCTTCCCACCCCCCGCATTAAAATCTTTCTGCAAAGGTGTAACAGGTCCAACTGTGGCTGGCCCAACAGACGAAGTGGCTTCCAAGTGAACGCACTGTGGAAAACCTCACCCAGCTACGACGACTCCAGGTACTCCAAGGCTACGTCATAGCAGAAGCGGTACTGCTCCTGGGTGGAGAGGAGGCAAAGAGAGAAAAGTGAAGAACTGGTTCCTGACGAGCCACCGCCACTACCCAAGTTCTGGACACCCACTGTGGTCATTCAAGAATGGCGAATTATTACTTTTTCTACATACAAGGTGAACACCTGGCATGACACTTTACACCAAGTCTAGAGAGGATGTTCAAGACAAAGACATTTTATCTTTGCCCTAATGGGCTCTGTCAAAAGTTTTTAAAGTTCTAGAATTTATATATGATTTTAAGAGTAATATTTTATTAATACAGAGAAGTTTCTAACCACAGAAAAATATAAAGAATTAGCAAAAGAGCTATTCTGTTAGTGGAAGCAACTGTGGAAATATTGCTTTATTTTATTTGCTTCAGACTTAAAAAAAATGCTTTGTTGAAATAATGATTAGAATACATATAATCCATATTTTACAGTATAATTTTGCATTTCATTTTCTATTTTATGAATCTTTTTTCACTTTAATTTTATTTTTTCTCAATTTTAAAATGGAAAAAAAGAATGTGGGTAGATCCTTTTCTCTACATCTCTAATTACTTCCTCAGAAGTAAATAGAAATAAAGATCCAACTGTATTTTGCAATTTTGAGTATTTAATTTTTGCACCATTCATCGTTTGTCCAAATAGAACTTAAGTAAATTTTACAAGAATGATGAGTGATTCGTAATTTTTTGAACCTATTCATACCTAAAATTTCACTTCTGCCACTTTTCCTTAAGTAAAACAATGTGATTGGCAATAAATTTGTTGCATTAAAAATTGACTTCCTTTTAAATCCATCCATGACCTTGCTACATTATTAAGAATTTAGAAAAAATTCTGAGACCATATCACAAATGATGGCCTTTAATGGGTACTCATTGAAAAACTCCCAGTGCAGTCCAGGAGGCTAAACAACAGGATGAATTGGACAGCAATCTGCAATATCTAAAACGTAATTATTTCTAAGTGCATCTAGGAATTCAAGTCTCTTTAACTATAAACCCGGGTAATAAAATTTTCCCCCAAACATATTTACCATTCTTAACCTAATTACCAAAGTAAAAATAGGATTTAAATTGGCCTACCACTGTAGTGAAAGAATCAAAAAGAGTTTCAAGACAGTTACGGTATGTCCTTTCAAACAGTTTCTGCCACTTCTGTTTATACTCTAAATTTCTTTACCAAGCTCATCTCAGCTAAACCCTGCACTGCATTCGACTAATCATTGATTAAACAGGACACGGAGCCAGGATTCCTGGGATAGGAATGTAAAGGAAAACAGGAATTTACTGCAAGGTTGTAGAACAACTCCACTTAATTACAGAATTTTAATTTAAAGAAAAGCCTAGATATCAAAGTTAAATTTGAAAGAAAAAGTTGGCCTCTGAGGCCAGGAGTAACCTCTCCCTCCAAGATGATTTTAGGTGATAGAGGCACAAATCTTAATACCATAGAGAATAAAGGTATAACTACTACCCCATTCTTTTTGGAGTGATCTGAACATTCTACCTGAAAATAAAAATCCCTCAAGTCCATATTCGTTTGCCATCTCAGGGCTATTTCCCAGCATCATCCTGTCCTAAGTGGAGCAGGACAGGGCTTGGGATTTAGCTCAGTGGTTCCACCATCTGCCTCTCAAGCACAAGGACCTGAGTTTGATCCCCAGGAGCAGGACAGGCGTGGTGAGGCCAGACAGAGCAGAAGTCTGAGAACACTTGTAAAAATGAAACAGCATAAACCTAGGTCTTCAGGTTTTTGTCTCAGGAAGCAATGAACCTCTTGTGTGAACAATCCAGGAGCAGGAAGTGGTGAACATGGTTTAAAAGTTTACTGAATTGCTCATTTCAGTTATCTGATCATCTTGATAAATGTAGGGCAGGCAGCATGACGCCTTGGTTTTTCTGGTTTGCTTTTTTGTGAGTATGAACTACACAGCTCTTAACCTGGTCTCCTCCTGCACATGTGCATAACCCACAGACATTTCTCTTTAGAAGTCAAACGTGTTAAGGAGGCAACAACTCTCTTTCTTACTCCGCGTAAAGCTTTGCCCAGATAAAGCGCTGTACATATATAGCTGTCAGATCTTATTTTGGAAGCTGTCCTCTACTTTCATGAGCCCAGGCAAATTCATGCAACATCATATGAATTGTACTCAATAGTTGGTAAAAGCTGAGTATTGTCAACAATGATAGGTTAATTTATAATTCAATTGGAAAACAAGGAATCATGGATAATGATTAAAATAAAATGCAACCGCCTTTTAAAAACATGAAGAGGCTAAGCTGGATAAGATAGTGCATGCCTGTAACCTCAGCACTTGAAAATCTGAGGTAGAAAGATTGGTATAAATCCAGCCTCGGCAGTACAATGAGTTAAAGGTTAGCTTGAACTATGTGGCAAGATCCGATCTCAAAAAACAAAGAAACAAGCAGAAGCAAAAAATAAAAAGAAGTGTAAGGTACTGAGGTAATCTTTGAACGGGACCACAGAAAAGATATATTAACAGTTAACTGAATATGCTTTCAGAAATAAAAATAAGTGACTGAGGCCGATCCCTGGTACCAACACAAAAGAAGAAACAAACAAAAAAGTGAAAATATAGCCTACATAGGATTTTTTACCGAAGCGTTTGTCAAAGTTTACAATAAATATCTATTGAAGATAATAGGGGAAAAAAACCCTATGTATTTCCCAGATTCAATGAAAATCTTTTTCTTCATAACTTAGTTTATATGTGATGGATTTATGTGGATGGATAATCTATCAACTCGGCACGAAAGTGCCCGCAATGACTCCTCTCTTCTCCCTTGTAATTCCCTAGCAGGGAGTGAAGTGAAATCCATATCTGGTGAGTGACTACCACATGTCAAAGATTCCCAATGAGGCTAGGATTCTGTAACTCACCGGGGCCTCTACCATGTTTGGCTTGCTGTTCCGCAGGGTCTTTACTGCGTGGAAAACATCAACAACATTCTGCCGTTTCACCATTTCAACAACGATGCCTATGGCACAGAACATGCCGCTCCGTCCACCACCGTTTCTGAAAGCAAGAGAGGCAAAGGTGCGTTAGCCGCTCAAGGAGGCGACCTGTCACACCGTCAGGTGTCTGGGGAAAGAAAGCACCATCTCCTACATCTTCCCTCACGTGTGTCTTAACTTTGACTTTCATGTGTGTATTTGTACAGGACACAAAAGAGGGAAAAAAGAGGAGGACGTCAGCTCAGTAGTTTACACTCAGAAATAAGCTATTGGCACGGGTTGCTGCAGCCTAGAAAACTAAGATTCCAATCTTCTTGTAAACTGAGTAAGTCCGAGGCATGGTTCACAGTTGTGTGTCAAATAGTTTAAATTGTATAACAACTACATAATACTATTTAGAAAATACAGTTGATTACACATCAGAAGTAGGCATTCCATTCTAAAGTAATACCTGGGAGAGGCCTGCTGAGATGTAAACTCAAAGCCACCAAGGGAGCGAGCCCCGGCCCAGGCCCGCGCCGGCCTACTCACAGGCAGTGGATGACGGTCCGTCCTTCTCCTTCTTCACACTCCTCCTGCCACTTTTCCACTTGCAGGATCAGTTTGAGAAAGGACCGTTTGGAGCCCGGCACTTCTCGATGAGAAGCCCACCCTAAGTACTGAAACTGCTGCACCATCAGATAACCTTCCTGGGGCTGTGGAGGAAGGAGGACTTTCGTTTGAGTAAGTTGGGGAAAGAGCATGCACTAAAAAGTAAAAGGCACGTGCAGTGACACTGTAAACAAAATTTGCATGGGGTTGAGTCTAGCTGACTTACGTCTTGAGCGTATACAAGTCCATAGGAAAACTCACCAAGTTCCTGCAGCAAGAATCATGGCCGTTGTCCCTTACACCCGCTTTTCCCTCATACCCCAAACCCAGCTACCAATTCCTATGACTAACATCCTAGTTTTCAAACTCAACACCTTTTCTTCACTGCCACTGCCAACCACAAGTGAGGGTAACCATGTCTAAGTGGGTCTCCCGGAATAAGCACCGATCTCCTTCCAATCTGTACTTTTACACACATCATGATTATTTTGAAATGCAGACATGTGATTTATTGATGTCCAAATGTTTTTAACATAAAACTCAAAAGTGCGCTGTGATTAAAGAATTCTTATGTGATCCAGTTCCACCTCCTTCCCCAAACTTTTTACTTTTAACACAGTGCTTGGGTTCTAGACACATTGGTCTTCTTTTAATCTGTTTATCAAGTCACTTCTTGCCCTGGAAACTGCAGAGACTCCCTTTTGCCCTGCAAACATCCTTGCTTGCCATTCTCAGCCCCAAGTACAGTGATGCATTTGACCCAGATTTTTCTGGAAGCTTTTCTGCTTTGCAATGAAATCCATGTGCCCTGTGAAGCTCTCTCTGTTGAACAAATCCAGATGGTTGGTTACCTCACTCCTAAATAAAGCCTATTGATTCTTCCAATTTGCTTTAAAAGCCACTGTCTTAGAGAAGTCTTCTCTCACCACCAAGCTATGCCTGCTTATCCATTAAATAATCTGTATTCTGCACTTTTCCCTCTGTCATATGTACATCTATCATATTAGTCAATAAACGCTTATACAATTAGTCTTTTAATAATCGTCTCCCCTGAGAAACTCCTTAATGATAAGATCTATTTTTTTCTCTCTACACTTTGTATCACAAAACTTTGCATATTTTCCAAATAATAGAATTTTCAAAATTCAAAACTTTAAGTCCACAGTAAAAAATACAAGGATGATTACGTGATATATTGAATAAGATGTAACACAAGACATCTGATCTTAAATTGTACATAGCAATGGATCATGCTTCTTTTGGAAAGGACAGAGCACTCAGTACAGTATTCAACTTGTCTAGTATACATCCTAAATATCTGATAAAGTGAATGATACTTTATCAAATGAGATGAAGTTCCCAATGAGAGGGGACAGAAAAAAAAAAAAAATCACACACTCTCAGTACCAGAACATAAAATACAGAGAAAGGTTAATAAACAAATACACAAACAAATCTACATGATAAAAAATGTAACACAGATTTCTGGCCTCGTTCCTAGAATATTTTCCCCTATAAACGGCCTCAATTCACAGAGGAGTTTAACTTTCTTAGTTTAGCAACTACGGTATCTTAGCTAAACTATTACTCAGAACCATAATGTAACAGATGTGCAGGCATAATGAGATTCCATTTAAATTACCATCTAAGATATGCATGAGTATTATGACATGATTGAAGTTATCCTTTTTTCTCCCCTGAAATGAGCAATAGAATTGGATACGATTTTATCCCCTGCTCATAGTTATGTACATATAGACTAATTAACAAGACACGCGTATAGTCATTTTGATATGGGAAACTCTGAACATGATCCCAATCACACACTTAAAATAAAGCACTTTTGCAGAGCTGGAACTTTACAAAACAGTGTCATTTTTCTCTTTGAAAAAGCATAGTTCCATGGAGGTTACTAATTTCTTCTCAAGTTCTACTCAGCTGGTTCCATAATCGGAACAGTTTTTATTGGTGATTTTGTTCTTTGAAGGCAAGACCCTCAAACTTCATTTAGTGCAAAGCACATGAATAGCAAGGAAAACAGACACCAGAGGGACATGGTTGCTACTTAGCTGCAGGGAAAACACAGAAGCAGAAACATCGATTCTCCTCTCAGGTCTGGGCAGAGCCAGATGCTGGGCTCAGCCAGATGAGACCATGAGGCAGAGGATAATCAGCAATGGCTGAGATTCGCCTTCCAGCCTGGATTTCTCTCTGGTACAGGACAATGCAATTCCCCTAGAAAGGCTGATGTGACATAGTGATTCCCTGTCATCATTATTACTGTGTTCTTATCTTTCATTTGCATGCCTCTTTAGGGCCAGATGTCAATACTTGTAAGACATGCAGTCATTTCCACCTAAGTCCACTTGTACTCAGGAACCAGGCTCAGACCGTGGAGCCCAACGGAGCTACTGCGCCTGAGTCAGGACTGCCAAATGTGTTCATGAATCTTGGAACTTTCCAGGAAGTGGAGTTTTCAGCACTTCTAACTTCCTGTGTTTGGAGTGCGTTTTTGTTCTTATACTAAAGAACAAGTTGGTTACCAGCTTTGGGATGGACTGTGCAGTGCTTATTAATGCTTCTCCTGTGGTCTAAGTGGAATTCTGTGCCATCGTGATGATGGTCTTTGTGTCCTGACTCAGCGCAGTCAGAATCGCCCGACAAAGACTTACTCTGGTTAGATTGCATATCCTGAAAATCCGGCTGATGACATCACAGTCCATCGAACAAGACATGCACTCCACTTGGATCGGGCCATAGCGGAGCATCCCTTCTTCTGGCCAGTACTGAGGGCAGCCCTAAGGGAGGAAGGTTTGGAAAGAAAAGAAATGGTCATTTTCTTCTACTTTAAGTACTGTAAAGCAGAAATTCACTTCTCATTATTATCTTATTATATGTCATATACAAATGTACAGGCACATTCCTGAGTATGAACCTGGGACAAGTCGACTTCATTTAACATCACAATGGAGGTACAGCCGTAGTCGTACACCAATCTCCAGAAGTCTTTCACAGTGTTCGGCAGTGGGTACTGTGTGACAATGAAAGCGGCTGGTTGCCTGTAGCTCTGTGAAGAAATGAGACAGAGAAATATACTAACTTAAAGTGCAGGATCAGTTGTTAGAACAGACGTGGTACCCGTGGATGGAGGACCAGGAGCAGGGAGTGCTGGCCAGGCCACGGAGGGCACGGGGTGAACCACAGCGAGGTCTGAGTCAGTCACCCGGAAGACAGTGACATCCCCAAGGCAGTTCAGGCTAAGAGTGGAATTTCTACTTCACAGAGAGAAGTAAAAACAGGGAAAAGACAAAAGGAACAAAAACTACAGAAGAGAGGTTAAGATTCTCCAAGAGTTACTATTGGGCTACTTCAGTTTCACACAGGTAATGAGCTTCTGAAAGGCTGCAGCAAAGGGAGTACAACATCTCCGGCACATCTGTCTATCAATCTTTCCTCTGTGTGTGTGTGTGTGTGAATGCGCATGCAAGTGTGTGTGTGAATAAAACCTCCTCTCTCCTTCCAAATGAAAACAACACAAGTCTCTCAGGCTCTCCTGCTTTTACATTGTGTGGGTGTTATGTGTGCATTTTGTAGCAGGAAACCCACTTCCCCATGGCTCCTTGGGAATTTCTCATGCACATCAATGATCAGAATGATAGTTTCAATTATTTAAATTCTCAAGTGCTCCACAGTTGATGCACAGCCCCTCATGGCCTCACTGAAAGCTGTGAGTCTACCTTGTTTACCAAGTGCCTCTTAACCAGGACACAGCATGTTCTCTCTCTCGAGTGGAGGGTAGCAATGGCAACGCTCATCTGCCCCAAGCACTCTGTCACTCCGCAGACAAGCTGCACTCAAATCAAAGTGTCATTTTCCAAAAGCTAAGCCAGTGGCAAGACTCTAGGCACAGCAAGAATGGAGGTTTTCATTCGAACTTGCCTTGAGATTATTCTGCTCTGCAGCACAAAAATGAGCAAAGTCTCCGGTTAGGACCAGTCTTGGTAGTACACTGTGGGATTTTCTAAGTTCCTACTTGACACCAAGCGACCAATCTGTGGAGGGTAATTTCTGGCTTCTGATTTCTGCTTGCTGTGGTTTTTCCCAAAGAGCAAAAACTAGAAATGAAGGTGACAGACTGCTCTCAATGATTTGGAACCTGATCGGGGTCCTACTCCTTCGTGATATAAGATGTCCAAAGACATAATTTAAAGCTCTCTACATGCTGCTTAGTTTATGGGTTATTAACACAGAGAGGACACAGGGAGCACCCACGGCTGATGAAAACTGTCCCTCCAGGTGATGGACACAGAACATGATATTGGCACGCCTGCCCTGGTTCTCTGTACATATTCTTTATTAACTCATAGTAAATAAAACCAGTTAGCTGCAAATTACTGGACCATAAAATGACATAGACATAGATTTCCTAAATTAACCCAACTTTGGTAGGACATGACCATCGGTGCCTTTAAAAAGTAATTGCTAGTGATAGTCAAAATATATAAGGAATGACATTTTTCTGCAAATAACAGCTGGAAAATATTACCTGCAGTATCCTATACAAATATAATTGACAATTAAGTTCCACATAAGAAATAAAGTTGCAAAATGACTGTTCCTAGGAAACTCTGTAGGGGATATCTAAAATCACTCTCCAAAATAATATAGGTAGTATTTCAATAAAGTTTCTGATGTTCCTTTTCAGCTCATATTTATTTCCCAGAAAAGGAAACCGGCCAGCGGCGAGTTGCACTGTGTGCATTTTGTGGCCTCGTCCACTCTGCACTAACAAAGAGGGCAGTCTCTTACATCCATAAGAGCGGCATTGATGTAGTTGCTGCTCTCCCCGTCGATGGTAATCAGGAAAGGCAGACATCTGTCAGGTGGCAGCATGTCCATGAAACGGTTCTTGTCATGATTCCTTGGCAGACAGGCTATACTGCAGTCTTCGGCTTGTAGTCGAGGCGTGACTGAATTCAGAGTCTACAATGAAAAGGGGACCCAGGTTAAAAGAGAGCGACTCATTTAACACCACAACACAGACCCATCAAGTACTTTGGAGGCCAAGCAGAAAGGGAAGGATTGGTTTGAGGCAGTGGCACTGACCACTATGACAAGAGATAGATTTTAGTTAGTGAACGAAGGCTGAGAAGGTCTTTTCTTAAAAGGAGAAGGGAAGCTAACCAAGCCCCGTATGTAGAAATTGCATCCCCTAACCAAAGAAAATGCCATCAGTGTGGGCCATGGTGACAATGGCGCCACAAAGCTAGAGAGGCTATTATTTATAATCGGTTTCCCACACCATAAGTGACGATTTACTGTGGGGTGACGGGAAGAGCGCTAGCATCAAAGCATTACTTTCTTAGCATACCCTTGACTTCATTTTCACCCACCTTTAGGGTTTGTTTTTTTTTTTAAGGACAGCAAAGATATCTGCAGTGTTTAGAGACAATGTTTAGTACAAGCTTCAGCTATTATTAACGTACTTGATTTCACTTTGTCAGTAACACAGAAGGTCAAAACCCACAAGGCTACACTTTTATACACAAATCATCACCACATTTGACTTTCATAATACATTTTCTTGAGATTCTTCCCTGAGTCTGAACTCACTTGCCCTTCAGGATATAGCAGATATGAGCTCATTAATATGAAAGTGACTCCATAATTATGCATAACGAAGGAGACAGCTATTACATTATACTTAAAGTAGGGTCAAAGGTCACAAATTTACTGTGAAAGACCTTTCTTAAAAGAATTATTAATGTACTGAACAAGTTATAATAAGTCACAGAAAAGACCTTTGCAACAGTCACCTGAAATTCATCTTTGAGGTGTGAAGAATTAGTCTGGGAGTCTATTCTGATCATATCAAAATATGCAGCCTTAAATTCGCAGACGGGAATGGCAGTTTCTCCACACAAGCATGCTTCCAAAATGGCGTCATGAATAAAAATGTACTGCTCCTAGTACCGAAAGAGAAAGAAAATTTCACACTATTTGAATAAAACCTTTCTGTGGAAGGCAGACAACACTTTCTTCTCCACAAGCAGCCATTGATTAAAATCCCCCCGTGTTCCTACACAACTCCCGATGATTTTGATTCTAGGTGAAGACAACTGGTGTTGCTCGATGCATGATGGGAGGCAGAAAAGAACAAGGAAAAGGGCAGAAAACATACTTCTGTCTGGACCATATTGATTCGTCGCGATCTCAGGGCCTTGACGCAGTTGTAGATGTCCACCACGCCCTCCCTTTCTGCCATGTCCAGCATGATGTCAATGACGATGTAACAGCCTGTCCGCCCGGCACCAGCGCTGTGGAGAATGTTCAATTGCGATAACGTGAGAAATGTGCTTATTTGTGTGAGCTTCAGGATGTTCCGCCTTCAGAGGCATGCGATCAAACTGATTTAGCAAAGGACAGAACACATCGTTTGTACGGGCTGTGTAAAACCAGACTAATGCACAGATAACTGCCTGGAAAGTACGGGGCGTCATGCGAACCGGAGGTTGGGACAAGAGCTGCAAATTATTTCCAAACCGAGAAGAGTGAATGTATGGTACTCAAGTTCCATACTGCTCTTCCACAGTCTGTACTGTATGTAAATTTCGTGTGCAGAATTACAAAATCATGGTACTGAACAAGTAATGCATTCATGCTAAAAAACCTAACTCCAGACCAGAAAATGTTGACAGTCCTCTAGTTACGGGTCCTTGGGCTGTGACACCTCAATGGTACTTCTGGGTCTCAGGGACTCTGGCGAAAACACCAGGACAAAAGAATATTAGCTACAAAGCCTTTAAAAGAGATAGTAAGGGGCCACTGTGCATGGGAAATGGTAATGGGGTAGAGCAAGTGGGGGAAGAAATGACGGCCTTCAAGGAGGAGGAGCTGCTGAGGCGAAAAAGTATTGGAATCAAGATCTGGAGGGAAAATAAAACCAGAATGTCAGACGCTGAAGATGCTTCCCAGCCGGGCCCAACAATAGCTGAGAATTCAAAAACTGAACCATAATATTCTTTCATTATTTTACTCCTTAGAAATGCTTCTCAAGTTTCATAAAAAACAGTCAGTGGGAAAAACAAGATAAAGAGCTTTTGTTTTGTTTTGATAAGGAATGGACTTCACTTTGTAGCCAGCTTCTTTTCCATAAACCCAGAAATGACTGAGTTTCAGTAGACATCGCACTTATTTCAAGATAGTGACTGGGAATCCCAGAGCACTTTGGAAACAAGCAATCTGTAAGAAAGTAAACTTCTGTGATAAATTAAGACCCAGAACTGAAAGCCCCTTTATCTCATTTTCCAAATGCTTACAGGAGCTAATTCTATTTATTACTCAACAGATTATTTCTTTGTTATCCAGATTTGGTCACTCCTCTCCCACTTTCTGTTCTTTTAGGAATTTAAGCAGCAGATATTGTGCTACCTCCCTCTCTTTTTTCCCCTACCACCTTCTCCATCACTGTTCCCAGGGCTGGAGACAGGAAAGTCACTGAAGAGTACATCAGATTCCTTGAGCACCACTGAAACACAGATTTGTGCTCTTTGCCGTGCGCAGTATCTGATCCTTGCAGGGTGTTTCATTCCCCATTGTTTTTGCCTCCTTTCATCCAAACCAATTTACGTTTTGAAAAGGTGGTATTTTTGGGCGAAACATGCTTATGTGCAGCCTATTATCTAGCATGGAGGAGACATCTGAGAATGATGCATAGCATTTAGAAGAGCGTTTCAGATCCAGTCCTACTGTTTCTGGTCACATCTTAAAACGAGGCCATGTGATTTGCGTTTAGTGTCTTGGAATGCTTGCTTTAAGAGAAGTTTCCAATCAGAAGAAATCTGGATACAATGTTCATGTTTCTTGACATATATTCGCTGTTTCACTGATACACTTTTCAAGGTCCTCTGATGGATGATGTTTTGAAAAGAATGTAAAATCGTTTCCCGGCACAAATCCTTCCAATTTAGGCCATTTAGTAACTTTGTCTCAAATTTAGTTTTAAAACCTGGGATTCCAGTGAAAATTTACTAGGTTGGCAGGAAAACTCTATTTTAACCTACTGTTCTATTCAATATGGGATTTTCAAAAGTGATTAAAAAGCATCCCAAAACACAGATGCTGCCACTAAAAGGCAGAGTTTTCCACACTTGTAATTGTGAATGGCACTACACACACTGGGAGGAATGTATGTATTTCTTAAATTTCTATTTTATATCCTACTTAAAGCTAACTTTTATAGCTGTTTTATATTCCCCATAACACACAAAGTAGAACTTTGTAGCCATATATTAGTTTCTCTGCTAAAAGCCTTGTTTTGATTCTTTTTTTTTAAAACTGATTGCCAGAGGTGAATGCTTGTAAACCCTAGCAGTCAAGAGGCTGAGGCAGAAGGATCGCCCCGAGTTTGAAGCCAGCCTGGGCTACACAGTGAGTTCCAGGCCAGCCTGAACTGCAGAGTGAGATCCTCTTTTTGTCTCAAAAAACTAAACAAGCAAACAGACAACTCCACAAAAAGCCGAGCACACACAGGCAGTGCGATTCGGGCCACACTCACCTGCAGTGCACAACAATAGGCCCTGCACTGGGAGGGTTGGATAACTTGACTCTGCGGATGAAGGACAGGAGGCCGGTGGCGTGGTAAGGCACTCCGTGGTCAGGCCAGCCTGTGAAGTGGAACTGCTTCACTTCACGGATTTCGTTGTATCCCCTCTGTATAAAGGTAGAAACGAGTGTTTTCAAAGGACCAAATAGAGCCATTTAACACAATTATGGGTCTTAAATCAGACCGGCAGGCATAAGCATTGAAAATCCATCCACGATCAGACCTTTTCGAAAAAAGGATGTGAGCTTAACGTGGCCTCTAAGCCTCCTTTCATTATCCAACAAACGCCACCAAAGGTAGACCATGAGGAGTCCTCTAAGCTTGCAGGTTCTCAGTCAGTTGTGTCAGTCTGGGTGAATGTGATTTACCTGCCAGCTTGCTTCCTACTGGGAACGATGGCACCTAAAATGATTAAGGGCCCAACTGCTGCCCTGTTGGCCCCACTCGAGTGCTGTAAGAAGCAGGTAGCCAGCTCCTCACCGCACTGAGAAGTCTCAGCGCCATGCTTATCCATGTTGAAAATGGCTCAGAAGCATGGCACAGAGGGGTTTTCCAGGACACAGCTGAGCTAGATTGGTTTCTGAAATGCACGGACAGCTAAACTGGACTTGGGGTAGACTGATTTTTTTTCTTGGCTCTGTGAAATAGTGCAGCACATAGAGTATTATTTATAGTTAACAAAAATACAAAATGACAGAAATGGAGCCTCCTATCCTATCAGGATATCCTATCAATCAGAAATCGTGCACCTAGCCTATCAGGCAAGAGAGCCTCTTCAAGGGAATCCCAAAGCCTTCTCCCTCCTCTGTGAGAAGAAACCTGAAAAATGAGTAGCACAGCCTGGGGAGTGTAAGGGAAATGTTGAAAATTTTATTTTTATGAATTCACATTTGTGGTGAAAGAAAAACAAATCCACTATGAACCCTGTACTTCCAGCTCTACAGAGAACTACTTCTTCCACAAGAAAAGGCAGAGATGTTCCATGAAATAAGAGGAGCGCTGAGGAAGACCGACGGCTGCAGCCTCTCTCCTATAAAAGTGTCAGCACACACCGGAAGGCAGCAATCCGGGCTCACAGCACAACAGGACACATAAGGCCCGGCTCAACAGACAACTACAATGATCACAGTGCAAACATGTGAAACAACACCGATGTGAAAACGCCTTCTACGCTACTTTTCAAGTCAGGGAGGAAGAGTCACAGGTTACTGTGAGGCCTGATTTCAGATATCTATTTTGCCTCCTTCTTACTAACCAGAGTGTCTGTGCGGCCCTCACTAACTTCCTGTTTCTGCTACATGTTTAAGACGTGCTTTTTTAAGTCAGTTTTTAAAAACTGTTTTCACTTAAAATTTCCTGAGTACTAATGAAATATGTGGCTCCCTTCCCCCTATAAAGTTGCTGTTGTTCAGTGCTGAATAATAAACAAAAGTTAAAAATACAAATCCAGTAATATCTCAGTTAGAACTGTATTAAATCGGTAGTGTTATTACTATCATGTACTCCTAAATTCTGGGATACAGGGGCTGTCTCCATTCCTTTACACCTTATTTTATGTCCCATTATATGTTTTGTTTCATTCAATCAGGACCTGCATCTTGTAAAATACAATCGAACCTTGGAATATTTTATTATTGTGAAGTAATTTTTAATGTCCACTTTTGTTCATTGCTAATATAAAGAAAAACTATGATTTATGAATATTTATGTCGAATTAGTCATTTAAATGAATGTGTATTAGTTCCATTATTTAAAATACTAACTCTAGTTTTCTTGGTATAACACTCTTTCATCTTAAAATAATCATTTTTTGTAATTGTTAGTTTACTCCTTTTGCTGCGGTAATTTGTTAAAACTTCCAAATAATGTTGAATACTAGTGAGAATGACTATTTCATTTTTTTCTAATGATAGTAGGAATAAGAGCCTTTAATTGGGCCTATCATAGTTTTTAGTTTATTGTAATAAATAGATTTTAGTTTTCCATTTCTTAACATGTATGCAAATAGTTATTGTTGAATTGTCTTTGCTGTGTTCAGGAAGTCTACTTACTTTGGTAATTAGAGTATTACTACAAATGTCTTTTAAGTAAAATTGAATATATTAAGCTATTTATAAAATTCTATAGTTTTGCTCCCTTAACATATAGTGAAATATCCTGTTATATTTCCCACCACAGTTGAAATATCTTTGGATTCTTAGCAAAAACAAAACACAACAACAACAACAAAACCAGGAAAGATCATTTAATCACAACTGGGTTAAAATATTCAGTATTTCATTTTCTTTTTCCTCTTGAATCATTTTTGGAAAGTATGATTTGCTAGGAAATCAGTGACTGTACAATAAAATCTAGGTCTACACTTATACATAATAAATTTATTATAATTTTCCTACTTTTGTAAGTGTTGCTACAGTTATATCTTTTTGTGTTTTCCAATATAATACACTTTATATAATATTATACCTTTTCACTACGTCATATTTAGAATCAACAATGATTTAATTACTTTACCTTTTCTTTCTTTCTTTTCTTTTTTTTTTTTGTGGTACCGGGGATCGAACTCGAACTCAGGTCCTTGCACTTGCGAGTCAGGCCACCAAACCACTGAGCTAAATCCCTGGCCCAGTTACTTTACTTTTTCAAGGAACTAGTTTTAATTTATTTAAAAAAACTATTTGCATTTCTTTTTTATATTTAATTTTCCTTAGTCTATCACTTTTTAAAAACTTTATAACTTTTCAAGATTTTAAATTGTCTCTCAGAAAATTTTTATGAACATAAATTTTTCTTACAGGATAACTTGAGATTTTCATGTAAATTGTTGACCTAAAAAACATTGTTCCATATAATGCTGATCCTTATTTAGTATTTCCTGTAATTATTTTTTCATGTTGCCAGAATTACCAATTGTCATTGGTAAAGAATAACATTTATCGATCATTTTCCCACAGTTCTGTAACTATTTGCTACTTTAAAATATTTACATTTATTTATAAATTGCCCCAAAATATGAATGCAGGCATTGTATATAAATAAACTTCCATTTTTCAAGTTATGATGCCTTCTAAAATTACCTATTTCTCCTTAAAAATAATGTGCTTTTGGGGGGGTCTACTTTGGTGATAATTTGTTTAAAGTCACTGTAAATGCTTATTACTATTTTTACCTTATGTGTCAATTCTTAACGATAGATTTATAAAGACAAACTCTCATTGCATTGGTATTTTAAAGTTCTGATATGAACCACTTTTTTGATATTCAGAAGGTTTCAATAAATTCAGCTACAAATGGCGACATATGAAAATATTTAAACATGCATTTGATGATGATTATTCTTCTAAATATTCTTTCGCTGATTTGACTCAGCCATTGCTCTGATGGGTATCTTTCCAAAAGAATTAAAAGAATCATACCACAGTGACATATGCACACCTATGTTTACAGCAGCACAGTTTGTAATAGCTAAAACATGGAAACAGCCCATTTGCCCATCAGTTGGAAATGATAAAGAAGCTGTGGTTTTTCTATAAAATGGAATACTACTCAGCCATAAAGACAGAGAAATTAGAGTTATTCATAGGAAAATGGATACATTTTGAGGATATACTCCTAAGTGAAATAGACAAGTCACACATGTGTAAATACCAAATATTTTCTCTGGTGTGAAAAACTATAATAGTACACAAGATCCTAATGGGATAATTAATAGTGTGAAATAGGAAGAAAAGGGCTAAAGGTGTAGGGAAAGTGGGAAGGGTGGGGGAAAGGGAATAAGGGAAAAGAAAAAAAATATGAGAAACTGAAAAAATGGAAATAAAGTGTTTGTAAATGGGGAGAGGAGGAGGAGTGAAGGGAGGGCAGGGACAAGGGGGAAAAATGAGAACCAAGACCTATTATGTAAAGGTACAGGATCCCAGTGATGAATGTACTGTACTGTGTACCTAGAATGTACCAATAAATTCAATAAAAAGAAAAAAAAAAGAAAGTACAAAGTTGGATACCCACACAAAAGGTCATACATCTTTAGGAGGGAGGTTGGCAGCTACCTTTCTTCAGATCCTAGTGCCCTCTGTTTGTACGGAAACTATGAAGTGAGGACGCTGATGGTCACGTTTCCTTTGTGCTCGTGGACCTTTTGTTGTTTGTTTGACAGGCAAGTTTACACTTCTTGTGCTCAAATCTACCAAGCTTTCCTGCAGCAATCTGTGGCTCTGTGCCTCAGTTCCGTCTCCTATGTCACACTGCTGCTCTAAACTTTGCCCTTAAACATAACACTCAGATTGTGTAACCCTCAGGTTCACAGCCCTGACTACATCACAAGCTAAGATCGCCGCCAGGGCCCCAAAGCCCCACTCACCTTGCTCTCATCAGCGCACACTTCTTTCCCTTTATTTACCCTCCTCTCAACACCTCGCCTCTTGACGTTTCTCCCTGGGACAGGGATACTCACGACGACCACGAGACTACTAAAGCGATGCTCACCCGGGTCCGAGATACTTCCTCCCACACGAGGGGACCGTACCCAGATCCGGGCTCGTGTCGCTTTCTCGACAAGTCCTCCTTCAGTCATCATTTCAAAAATGGTGACGCGTTTCCTCTCCTACCTCAGTAATGCTCCCCATTTCCATTCCCAACAGTACTTTTTAGCCACAGGACAGCACTTTCATGGGATATTTATGTACTGTCGTCTCCCCTCTGTAGAGGGTAACCTCCATGAGAGTAGGGACTGTAACATGCATCCCCAGGATGGGAAAACAGGATGGAATGTAATGGTGAGTGCGGAAATAAATATCTGTGGGTTGAATTTGTTTCACGGTATCATTAAAACAAAACCTGGCAGGGATTTAAACAGATAAACAGTTTCAATGCATATGGATTTTTTTTTTCTTTTTTTTTGGTACCGGGGATTGAACTCAGGTCCTTGTGCTTGCAAGGCAGGCCACCGAACTGCTGAGCTAAATCCCCAGCCCTCAATGTATATGGATTTAATAGAATTTTTTAATATTTACCCTTTCCAGAGTGAATGTTCTTACTACATATTCCGCAAGTGGTTCCATTTCTACACAGCTTACTTTGAAGTCACCATAAACTTCAGTATCATCCGGCCAGTATTTGTAGCACTTGACCTAAATGACACAAAGAACACATAGCTAGACTTGAACACCAAATACGCTTTAGCTGAGAGCATTTAATTCCAGTGATTACACTTTTACTCACAACTAAAATATTGTTAAAAACATATACAAATGAAAAAGAATCTGTTAAATAATAAACAGAAAAACTTTGTACATTCTCATACAATGTATGCAAGACTAATAATGCAACTAGATCTTTGGCACAGAAGCAATGCTTATTTTATTGCTCAAAGAGATATTAAATAATTTCTTAGCCACTGAGAGTCCAGCAGCACTCTAGGGAATTGCTACACCTATATAGGTTTTTTTTAAAAAAATAAGTGACTGATATTCTTTTAAGTGCATTGTCTCTCAACTCTACTTGTGTCTATGACAAAAAAAAAAAAAAAAAGAAAGTTCTTATTCTTACCCGGCCCACCTCTACTAAATTGGTGACCATTACAATGCAGGCAGACTGCTCTTGCCACACCATTCTCCAGAAATCGTACACAGTTTCGTGAACGGGGCCTAGGAAGAAATCAGCTTTAATTGTGGAGTCAGAAATTTCCATAAGACAAACGGCAGAGTACATTAAATTAAAAAGGTACTTGAAAAGCCACTATTAAATGTCACTAAGACTACAGAAATTCGGCTCACACCTAAATTCATACTGCAGTGAAAATCATAAGCATACACAAGGTTTTTAAAAATTTCCTTCTGCAGGTCTCCACTGAGAAGGCAGTATCACTAGTTCCTAAGATATTCAATTCGTCACTAAGTTACTCAAGCACATCTTAGATGTATATGAAAAGCGAACTCAAGCCAAGCTCAGCTGAATAGGATTTCTTAGAAACGAATTAAACGTCTGTCATTATCACAGTGGTGTTCAGACGCTGGCGAGGGGCACCCTCACATATAAGAAGGTATCACATGACCACTGTACATTTTCCTCCCCATCTGAGAAAGCACAGACCACCCCCGCTCAGGAAAACTGGAACGCTGCCTAAAACAGTGGCGGATCTTTCTAACTTTAAACAGTAGTCAGTGAAACTCAATTACTCCAAAACTATGTGAAAACACTTAACAAAAGAACCTCTGTCAGAAGACCAAATGTGCTTTTGTTTTACTTTTCTGTTGCATACAGCAGATGCACGCTTCTCTTTTGAAGGCCGGTCATCAATTTGGAGAGATGACTACAATTTTTTGGTTCGGACACTTTCACTCCCTAGAGTAGCACTCTAAGATCTCCCTACTTCTTACTTTCCACAGTGAATAAACTTCACTATATTCCCCCCTGGGATGTTTTGTCTCAGTCTTAACTTGACAGAAGGTGGTGGGGAAACAGTATAATATTCCATTATAACAGTGCTGGTCTTGGGAATGATCATATTCCAGGCTGGCCCACTGTGCCAGTAGAACACAGCCTCCTACTACAAGGAGAGCCCACACTGTCTTCCCCAAAGTATATCCTCCCCCGGCCGGTACTATGGACTGCAGTTTTGAGATGGGTGAATACCGGGGACAAAGTCAAGAGACTACCAGCAGCTTCTCTCTCTACACAGTCAATTAAAAATAAATCAACCAAACCTATGCTTCGCCCAGATAAAATATTTGTATTATGTGAATGAATAAAGAGCAGTGTTAGAAAAGCCAATCGTTTCAGTTAATTCAGATAAAAGGGCAAAAGATGGCCATGTGGCTGAATAAGCAAAGAGGTTTAATCTGTGACATTTAGAAAGATGAAGTGGTACCTTGGGTTGCAATGTAGTGACTTGGTCTCTGGTAGCCCTAAAATAGGAAAATATGTCAGTTACCATTTCCGTGCAGGGTCAGAAATAAGTGAATGAAGGCATAAAAAGGTGAAGACAAGCACCTGTCAAGGTTGAGCTGCAGTAAAAAGTGCAGAAATGAGTAGTGAATGCATAGTTCACTTCTCAAACCTACGTTACCCAAGAGGTAAACATAGAGCAAAAATTAAGTATTTTAAAGGCTCTGATTAAAATCTATATTATAAAATGGAGTTTTGTTTGCTACAGAATAATCCCATAGATTTTGTTTGGTTTCACTACAATGTTTATGCCTTCACGTTTATCTTTAGTCATTCATTCCTGGCAAAATTGTGTTTCAAAATATTAATTCTGATTTTTATCATCCAAAAGTACAACACACTGCATTACAGATGGACGAGGACATATTAGAACCATAAAAAAATACAGAAGATTTCAATGTTAGAGCTGGACAATGCATGTGTGCATCCAATCAAGGTGCTGCTGAAATTCTTTTAAGGAATACCCACATTCTACAACATGTTCAGGAGCCACAAAAGCTATTTTGCGTGTGCTGCTGATGCTAATGTTAATTTACACACATATATAGGGAAAGAATTTTTTGAAAATGCATCTTATCCCAAACAAAAGGTATTTTTTTTTTAGTTTACCAAAAGTTTTATGTAAACAGTTAATATTATTTCAATAAATTATTCCTGACAAGGAATGTGTGGTTCCTTGCTCTCAAATGGCTAGCCTTAAAACGAATCGTGACTTGCAAAAACATTGATGGGTTAATTTTTGAAACCTGATGTGCACTGACCAAAGGATTTAGTAAAAGTCTTTGGGGAAATCTGTTCGCCTTATTGTTTTGCCAATTTAGTACACATATAAGTGCATATGAATGGAGGTCTTGAACCAAAAATTTAATAGTGTGTGAGTCACACTGTCGCACAGTTTGAGGACTTCTGTTTAATATGTCAGTATAGAATGTTTGATGAAAACAATTTTCCAAAGTTTTTAAGCATTTCAACTCATTTTAAATAAAATATATACTAATTGCTGAAATAACAATAATGTAATAGGAGAGGAAAACTATATAAGTTTTAGTAATCAGCCAAAATACACTGGGGTCTTAACAAATGTTGGGTAACAATTTTTAGAATGCAGTCTTTTAGTATGAAACATGTAGTGATATTATGATAAGGCTCTAGTATATATATACTGGCAGAAAAGTCAAATTAAACTAAAAATAGGAGCAATTACAAACTTATCACAGAAATGTTTATTTCTTTCCTCCTACCGCGTATGCGGTTAGCGTAGCTTTCCACGACGACATTTCTGCTGAATTTTAATATGGAATAAGATTATGATCCAAAATCTAACCAATATACTCATAGATTACACTTAATACAATAATTCAAGTAAGTGAATACTTATTATGAATTCTCAAAGTAATTCTAAATCACTGTCTTCCTAAGTGTGATGAAAATCATCTTCTATTTATGGACATCAGAAGAAGCTGAATCTTATGGTTCATGTTTGCAGGTACCCAAGTTGTGCAGTATGCTACAGTACTGAACTTCTACATTTTGCCCTAGAATTACGTACACTGTGAATCAATTAGTGTCAGCGCCTCCATTTTAGTCGTTAACAAGGGTTGAAGCTTAATAGGTGCTAAATAGGTGCTGGGGTGGCACTAACTATGCACAGGCATCGCTTCACTTCATTCTCATAACAAAGAGATGGGCTTGGCACTACAGTTATCAACCCCTGATCAGATGAGGAAACCGAGGCAAGGAGGAAGGTAGCATTCCCAAGATCTCCAGTGTGATTTTGAGCCAGGTGGATGAACAAAGAGTCCGTCCTCCTTAGACAGACAGAGTGTAATATTTTGCCTCCTTAATGTTATTTTACTTGATAATTACTTTCCTTACATAATTTGCATGCACATATAGTAGAATAAATGATCAAAACCAACTTTTCATTTACATGATTCAATATATATGTGTGATATGGGTATTTTAAAATTGCAATTTAATAATCGTTTTGCCTGAGTAATTTTGCTTTGTAAGCCAATACCACACACCACAAAATAGTCTCCTAGTTAGTTTTAACATCAGGAGCCAATCTAAAAGTTAAATTTTAGAAATACTAATACACATCCTACTATCCAGCTTCTCACATATGTTTGGGAAAGGGTAAGAATAAAAGTCAGAAACAGAAATCATCAACAAATAAAACTCGAGTACATAACTGTTGAAGCCAAAAATGACCTGTTTCTCTAAACAAGAAAAAGGAAGGAGGTAAAATAGATCTTTACACATGTAAAAGAATTACAAAAAAATGAACATAAATATACTGTATGAGACCAATTAGGTGAAGCATGCAGAAGTAACTAGTAGTAAGCATTAGTAATAATTACAATTAAGAATATTGATATGAAATATTTATAATAGGGTGTTGTTATTTACATATAGTGGTACTTACATCCCTGTACAGCCAAATCTACAGCCCAAACCAAAGTCAGGTGTGAAAGAAAGCACAACAACATCAGTAAGTACTAGGACGTAGAACAAGGAAATGTGTACAGTTTGTTCTTTATTTAAAAAGCTAGCAATTACTTTACAGGTGATAACAAGCAAAAAGTTCACAGATAAAAGCTGATAAAGTGAGCATATTATCAATACACGGACCATAAAAGTACTTACGTCTATGTAGTTGGCATTGATGTAGTCTGAAGAAGGATCATCCTCAACAGGTTGCAAAATTACTCTGGAGTGATCATCTAAAATATTTCAATAATAGAATAAACCTGTGAAATTTCTCCCTGTCCTGAGACAATGTCACTGGCAGTAATTTAAAATAGCTCAGTCTCTAACTCTTATTCATATTTGTCGATAACCTACGTGATTTACCACTAGCAAATCAGTCACTGTGGGGAAATGGAAGGACGCTAATGAGTTTATTCCTTATCATACTCAGAGTCATGTGTGAACACAGCTTTCCCGGCCGACATTTTCACAGGAAGTGCAAGGAAACACGATAGCAGCCCAGGAATCGGTGCCTTGGACCTGACCTGAGAACAGAACTGGCCTAAATTCTACTTTTGCTTTTTTAGACACGATTTTAAGTGGATGAGATCCCTTTTCTCTGGGTTTTACAACCTCATAAGTCTCAGAACCACCCTGAATTTTGAACACTCCTCTTTTTGCATGTCTTGAGAGTTAAGGTTAAGAGTTGATGCATTTTAGACATGTAAATATCATCTAAACTCATGAAAGCAGTAAATCTGTAGCTCATTAGAAGTTAAATCACCTACTACTTTCCTTATTTCTCTTGTGGTTTCCAATGGCAACGACTTTTACTTTTCTCAGGCACTCATCCCGAAGACCTAACCAAGAGGGAGTCCCGGAGGGTGGTACGTGGAATAACTGAGATCAGTCACTAGTTCCAAGCGGGGAAGAAAGGCACGCGGGAGGAAGGAGCTCCAACCTTGAGTATGATCGGTAAGTGTGCTGGAGCAACTCGTCACTGCAAAGATCGTTTTCATTGTCCTAATATTTTCAGCTGTTTAATAACACCCCGTGCATGTGCAGTGTACAAACATAACAGCAAAGAAGAAGTAATCTCCACAGGGAGAAGGCTGAGTTGATTTAATTAACGAGAATAATGACAATTTCAGAGTTTCTGCTAATGCCACTCCTGTTCTTATATTAAAGAGATTACTTTATAAACAGATGTGCCACCCTCTAGGATTATCTTGACGTCTAAAACCACATAAGGAAGAATTACAACTCACTGTATCTTGATACACACAGTATTTCTGCTCACCAAGGACTGTATGGGAACTTACACGCTATAATGTTTCCATATCGGTTTTTTGCTCTGTTTTGATCTTTTTTAGCTACATCCCACGATGCTGACTGACCTTCAAAGAAGCTCTGGGAAAAGAAAAAAAAATTAACAAGCAGACTGAATTTAATTCTATTTTTATAAAACAGGTTTATCTGCTCCGAAGCCGAAAATAGTAGAAGCCCCTTCCTCAGGGAGACAGGGGTTTCTACTGTAGTAAACAGGCTGCATTTTCAGATTGTAAAGCTTGATGGCTGGACTCACACTTATTCATCTTGGATTGGATAGAGTTCAAGGTAAGGATAAAAAATTACTGTAGAGAAGTAAAAGCACCTTTAAAGTATCTCACATTTAAGGTAGGTATAATTTTGTAAGATGAAAATAAAAAAATTCTTTTCAAAACAGTGAATAATAATGCAACAAAAACTGCAAAAACTGCTTCTAATGAGTATCTTTCAAATGTACGTTCAGAAGTATTTATAACAGAAAAAAAAATCCCCCTGCTTCCCGCTGTAATTATTCATTAAATTATGCACAATACATCACGTTTCAGTTTCTTTGAAGATCATGAAAAGGACCATCCCTACAACAAGGGACCACATGAAAATTAAAAAGTCCCTCTCCCTATGAATCTGGGAACAGATGAAGTTGTTGATTGGTTTAATTACCATATGCAGCAATTTAAAATGTGGGGAAAGAGTTCTCTTTGCAGAAAAACTTCAACTTTGCTCAATACAGGAAATGGGCTCTTCAAACAGCCAACAGTCTTTGAAGCAAAGTACACAGGAATGCACATGAAATGAACAAAAAGAACCAGTTCTGGCAGAATATTCTCATTTTCCCTGCACTTAATTTGTTACCACAACACAGTGTTTCAGCATATACCTAAAGCCAACATTAAAAATTCAAAGATAAATTTTATTCACAGCCCAAATAAGGTATACAAATAGTTTGTGGGTTAAGTGTGGAGCTTTAAAGATTTTTTTCCCATGTAGTTGGATGTGCTCTGGGAAGTTTTTCACAGTGAAGTATTGCTTGGGTTCTTCCACTTTAGATGAGTTTGTGTGTCCTGGGTGAGGATGAGGGAGTGGCTGGGCAAACTCCCATGCCCCAGACTAACATTACTCAGTAAGTGAAGAGGGGCCGAGGAACGGGGAGTGCTCTGTTCAGATCGCTCCCTTTGGAAGAGAGAGTCTGCTGTTGTGGTTGGAGTGGGACTGGGGGCAGGTTGGAAGAATTCCCTGCATCCTGCTCTGGGCGTCTTTCTGTGGTCACTGGGTTTGCGGTGCTCCCGTTTGCTTTTCTGCCACACTCAAGCAGTCTACAGTGGGAAGCTGAGAGTGCAAAGCAGTGCATTTAAAACACAGAATGCATTTTTCTCACTCCAGGGGTCCATAAGCAAAGAGATAGAAATAGCTGATACTTAAGTCATTCAAATGGCAGGTCTGTGTGGTACGGTGGAATTCCAGTCTTGCCAACTGATTTTTTTTAAAAAGGAAAATATAAGGAGGATCTAACAAAGTGTTTTTAGTAAGAGGGAAATAAATTATGGAGCGTAACATTCAAGTTTCTTATAATGAAGGCAAATCCAGGTCTGTTTGAGGTTGCTGGGTTATTCATTAGTTCTGTTGTTTGTTTTTTGTTTTTTGAGACAGGGTCTCACTGTGGAGTTGAGACTGACCTGGAACTCACTATATAGCCCAGACTGGTCTCAAACTCACAGCGATCCTCCTGCCTCAGCCTCCCGTGTGCTGGGATTACAGGCGTGCTTTTTTCTTTTTTCATTCAATTCCACTCCCTTCCCCAAGATATACAATTGATTTTACATTCATAAACAATGGACTGCACAGGCTATGGAGCATTCCAATTCCAGACTGCCATGTGAAAGGGAGGAAAATCTGTTACATTTCATCTGATGTCACGGTTAAATACGAAATTCAATATGCTACTGACGCATTCACCTCATACTCCTCCTTGAATCCATAGCTGTCTGACGTCTTCATGAGGTTAATGTGCTGTAGTAGATCCGCCACTCTGATGGCTGGGTGCAGCTGGCCCGTCTGGTATGGGGACTCTGTCCCCTCGCAGAGGTAGCGAGGTACGTCCAGGAGCCGACTGGACTCTGCTGTGGCACTGTGGTTTTCGTCTGGCATTTTTCATGTTCCAGAAGATTTAAAAAAGAGATAAAGTTACCTTGTTTAATATACATCTACAAAAGGAGATTCTAAGAGCTCAAGATCTTTCTGATAACAGAAGGGAGGGAAGGGAATGCCGGCCACCAGGGGCCTGCTAGGGCAGCAGCTGTAGGGGCAAAGTGTTGGCCTTTTCCTTCAGTCAAGGGTCCAGGCCGGACCTATTCTGTGTGTACCAGCAATACAGCGGATGCCAAGAGATGGGGCGACATCGGATCCATTCTTTACAAGTGTCTGGGGAGGGATTAGGGATTAGTTGGGCTCTTACTGAGTGCATCTGCAGTTACAGCAGTAGGGGTGGGGTGGCAAGACCAAGGTATCAGCGGGAAACATGCTCACAGGTAGACTAAACCGACAACTCCTTCCCTCTCAGGCCCCACCCCCTCGGGGTCCTGATCTGGCACCTCATGCCCACAGCTCTTCCTCTGGCCCTCCTGGGGCTCCTAGACCCTGCGGCTTCTTAGCACAACACACGCTAGCCTGGGAAATCAACCTCTGAGCCCGTTCTTCAGGCAACCAGGCTCTGTGCGCATCTGATTCCATTCCTGCCCTTGGTTTCTTGTCAGTAGGGCTGCTTTTATGGCTCATATATTTTGACTTTTCTGATCACTATGCAAGCCAAAGCAGGGGTATCTTCCAGAGCCAACTATGGATACCGCCCCCAGACTTCTCCACACACTGTCCAGGCTGAGGGACTTCTTCTTCTTTTTGTACCAGGGATCGAACTCAGGACCTTGAGCTTGCAAAACAAGCACAGTGCCACTGAGCTAAATCCCGGCCCTAACAAGGCTCCTTCTGACACTTCCAAGCCTTCCCATTTTCCTACATGCCGCTTCACTTGTTCTGTATTTTAATTTGTTTCTGTACTTGTCTATTTGCTTTCTTAAACCCCCAGTGCACAGACTGTAGACACAGTCACACTGTTTTACTCCTAGTGCATAGCAGGCCAATACATATTTCAATGCGTAAGTTAAAATCCATCAAATCCCTTACCACCCACATTTGAGTGCAGGCCCCTTCCCAACTGTGTAATTAGCTCAAAATGAAAAGGAACTTTTAATTTTCTTTCTGTCATCAGGAGGAAGAAAAGAACAAGAACATTTTGCCTAAGAAGAATAAACAATATTTTAATGATGGAAGTACTAATCATTACACAAGGAGAAGCATGCTTATATTTATCACATTTAAACTTACCACTTAAAAAAAAAAACAAACGTTTTAAGGGGTGGTACTTAGAAAAGCATTATACTGTCATACTCATTAACAGAAAAGAAAATATATTCTCAGAGGAAATTTTGCATTTAATGGTAATGCATACTGTAGAGAACGATATTTAATTAACAGTTAAAACATAGTTCAAGTGCTGGTACATTTGCCTGTTCTACCACCAACTCTACAAATAGGATATGGCAAAAAATGAATTGTTGTCCCCATGATAAGCATCTTTTCTTCCTAGAGAAGGGGGGGAAAAAGAATCCTACAATCAGATTTGTGTGCCTCTATAATTTAGCTTGATTGCATTTATCTTTAACCTCCCTTATTAAGCTGAGTGTAATTTTTTTTTTTTTTTTGCATTTACTCCTAAGACACCACATCGAATCAAAAAATCCCCTGGTGGACACTGCTGTGACTTAACGACCCAAAAGAATTAATGCCTTTCATGCGAGGTTTGCCCGCCACTCTCCACACAAACATTTGTGAGCAGACGTGATTCACAAGAGTCACCTCCCTATGTTGAGACTGCAATGATCTAGCTCTGCTCAAATATTACAATTAACAGACTGACATAAAGAAGGTGTACATCTCCCCATGGAAATTCCGTTCAGAAGCAACTCATTTAGGCACCATCCCAGGAAGTACAGTGGAAGACGACACATAAAGAGAACAGATAACAACCAAGAGGTAAAATGCAATAGCTGAAACTGACCGAGTAGCCAGGGCTCTGCGGAACACCCACAGAGCACAAACGTTCCTTGCAGGAGCAGTGGAAGTTTTACAATTCTAAGAGGCTCAGTGAGAAACACAGAATTCACCCATATAACACATTTTACAGTTGATTGTCTCCCCATACGAAATCAACAGTGCCTTGGTGTTGCATTAAGCTTTAATACAGTAGTACAATAAGCAGTAAGGTCTTTAAAGTAATCACATATGAATTATTAATCTCAATACATTTCCACCTCATTAAACCTCCTAATAATGTGATTACTAGTGAGGATACATGTACTAATCATTATCCGTATAACACATTTAAAATGATAAGTGCAACTCTATCTCTGATTGAAAAGTTTTCTAGAGTTCTTTGTAATACACTTACCAGTTATAGGGACTTAAACCCAATGAAGCAGTGAAACACACAAAAGAAAAACCCAAAAATATGAATCAATATGAAATGCTTTTAAACCCTTTAAATCATTAAGTAGATAATAATACTAAGAAATATTTGAGGTGATTTCAAAAAGCCCTTTATAAATACAAAATCAATTAGATGCAAAATAACTGTAAAACCCATAGTCTACGAATGGCAAAAATGCAGCACTTTAATACAGCTAATATGATTAATGACAGACTTAGCTTTTAAAGAACATCAACATGTATGGAGTCCGCCGAAAAAATGTATACGCACTTCAGAAAAAGGAAAACAGAACAATGTTTTTTCAGCAGATGGTGTTACCCTCTTCTGGGGGACCCCAGAGGAAGCTGTATATCATAGAAAACCCACCACACTGCTGCCCTTAGAGAAGAAGCTGAAAATGCCTGTGCAGCGATCTCAGCGCCAAGGTCACCCACGCAGCCGCTCACTGTACTAATAAACGTATGGAAGCTCACGGCCACCATGCTGAGCAGCTCTTGTCATTGCAGAGGCCAAAGGTAACTTCTTCATCTCATGAGGTCTCAATGAGGTTAATATTAAAATATTTACACAAGGTTTTCTTTTCCTGAAATATGTACACATATTTTGGTGGACTCCTTATTTTACATCAACCACTTCGGTTTTCAAAATGAAATAAAATGCATAATGAATGTTTACATAAGTAGGTCTTAGGATGTGGTGTGCTTTCTTCGTTACACATGAATATTCCTTTTCTTAAGGAAAGTTACTGCAGCAATTGTTTAAACTTTGCAGTCTTTAAAAGTCACAGGCATTATTTCATTTTCTCTTTGTAAAATCCTGTGAACACGGTGCAGTAGGAAGTACTTTACTGCTATAAAGATGGGACAGCAAACACACAAGATATCTTTATGAGTACAGTCAGTCCACACACAGGAGGACTGAGATATGAACCTAATTCTACAGGGGCTTAGAAAATCATTACATGAAATTTTAACTTTTAGGCTATTGATTCTTTCCCAGTGAGTTTTGTGATACTTTAGCTGAACTTTCATTTAACTTGATCCTGACAGCATCCTGACATTCTCAAGAGAAAGATGACTTTACAGGGGGATGTGGGGCCTCCTCGGTGGCCACCACTCAAGATTCCACCTCTTGGGACAGATCCCAAGTTCATTTCCCTATTTACTGATGTGGGTGTCACCCAGAGAGTGCAGTAGGAGGAACCCAGATTCTTTTAGAATGTACATCCCTTATACCAATGATAAAATTGTAATTTGAAACAATTACTTTCGTGGGTAAGAGGTCTATTTTACTTCATTGAATTAGTAGCATTGTGCAAAACGTTGTGTAACATAATCAAACACGAATAGCGCAAACATGTGTACACTCTATGTGCTGCCGAAGCAGGCACAAAAGAGTGTAAAATATAAGCTAAAAGTTTTGTGTTTAACAAGAAATGTGAATTTTAAAAGATATTTATCTGATAATCTCCGTATTTCTTTGGTTAAATCTTAATTTAACAACACTGAGGTAAGATTGATATGGAACTTGTGAACCTATAAGCAACCTGGTCAAGGAAAAGGATATACTTTGAATGAAACTCATTTCATTCTGAAATAGCTCAATTTTAAAATTAATGCAATGCTCCAGTGGGAAGGCCCGTGCCATCACTAGCAATCTCAGGAGTCTTGGATGTTACAGAGGTAAACCAGGTATGTGGCTTATCCTGCATTTCAAAAACACAGTACTAGTCATAAAAGGTTTGCATGCAATTCCAAAGCCCACATCGAGATTCTAACAACTTATCCTACGCTTCTAAAGTCTTAGTAAAGACCAAAGAAAAGTACCTGCATCTAGTCCTAGTATTCACTTATAAATGTATCCTTTTATTGCTATAAAGTTAAAAAGATTTAGAATAATTCTTCCCCACAGGTAACTTTTATATATACGCTAGGGTTAGCTGTCATTGGTCCTGAGATCTATATCACCAGGTCTCATTTCACTAAATTAGATAGATTACTATTAGCCCTGAATGAAAGGCCCCTGGACTTTCACTTTAAATCTAGAAGAATCATAATTTAGAGAACACGATGCTTTAAATGGTATACTGTACTCTGCTCTGTGGAAATTCACTAAATCTACTTACATTGAATAGTGTTGCTGTCTCTGATAAGACTATGGCTATTTTAAATGCAAGATGCGTTCTGAATCACAAAGAGTTATTATTCAGACAAAGCTACAACTCATGCAAGGAGTTGTGATCCATGCAATAAATAAACGAATGAATGAGTAAATAAATAAATTTTTAAAAATGATGATGATGATGACGATGATAAAGATTTAGGGCCTCACCTAACACAGCAGTCGGCACGAGAGGATCATTGGGCACTGTAGGAAAACAAAGCTCATGAAGGAATATATTGCTCTGAAATTAAATTTTGAACTCTTTTTGTTAAATAATGGATTATGCTTTCCTAAGAAGGGTAATTATTCAACTTCCATTACTGGATCCTGCAAGAGGAAAATTCTCTCTTCTAGCTTGGGTTATGTCAAAGCATCAAGAAAGGCATATCTGTAATTATATTTTAGTATTCTGTTTAATTTGAAAAGGAAGAGGATTCAACTTGACATGACAAAGAGTATACAATTAGGGAGAAATAAACCATGCATTTTAGATCTAAGGTACTGGAGAAAAGTGATCTCATATTCATTCCAAACAAAATTTTCTTTGGTTAACTGTAGGAAATAGATGTAATCTTTTATCTAAATGCATAAGTAGATTTTTACAGCCACCTTGCTGAATTGAGGTTTTCTAATAAGGTACCGACATACGCAATAATTAGAAAAGTTTAGCGGCCAGAAATGCTTTCATACCTATAATTGATTACATATTAAATCAAATACTTAAAGAGAGGGTACTTTTATATATTTAGCAAAGCTTACTTTCAACAGAAAGAGTATTTCATATTCTTCCCTATCATTTATCTTACGGTGGAATGAAAAGAAAATAGATCAGAAAGACCCCATCATGTTTTCAATGAAGTTCTAAAATGACTCATATTATATTTGTAACTCCTAATTTGGCATAGATAAGTATGTTAGGGAAAATAACAGGCTGCATTTAGAGCCCATAATTACTGAAAAATTTCACAAGCTGAATACTTGGAAACATTCTCCCTCTCTGAAAAGATGTAAAGATGTACAACCTACAAATAGTTTGCTTCCAACCTTGTCACTACATACATGTATAATTTGTATAAGAAATAACAGTCCTACTAGTGACTTTTTTCTTACATGCACATTTTCCATATCCCTAGGTTTGTGACAAAAATGCCTCTGCCTACAAAAGACCAACAAACCTGATACATGCACTTCAAGCACAGTTTTACTTGGGGATTTGAGGAAGTGAAATCAGGTCAGGGAAATTTAATTAACTTAAAATAAACTGAAGTACTATAGAACAGAATATGAAATTTATAGGAAATTTGAAGATAAACAGTAATATTGAACCTGAGATAATTATTGAAATCATCTGCAAATGATACGATTTTGTAAGATGGGCAGATGGACAGTTCGCACTTCACACTAGCAACTTAAGACAAATGTAAACTAATCTCTCCCCTAGTTAACCTTTTAGCCCTGAGATTTCCTAGGATTCTATAGTAGACTATTTTAATGGAATATTTTTACCCATATTACTAATTCCCAACAAGAATTATTGTTTCTTCTTATCTCAATAGAAACTTGATCTTATACGAAGAAAGATGGAAACGGTAAAATATTTATAAATTCTCACATGAATTCATTTCATGTAGGCAGTCACATATTTTAACTCAAAGCACTTTCTGTGGTCTCAGTGATATACTTTTGGAATATTTCTTATACTTTAAGAATGAGATTGATACAGTGTGAAGTTAAACGAAACCCAGTATTCAAGCCTCAAAACGGGCTTCTTAAGAATTCCATACATCTTTTCTTTTGTATCTAGCTGTTTCCGCCCCCTTTCTCCTGCTATCTGTCATTGAGTTGATGAGTAGATAAATGCATTTACAGAGCTTCAAGACAACTTGTTAAAGTCTTACTGAAGAACTTACATCTTGGACTGAAGTTATGCTGGTCCATGAAGGTGATGGACAGAGGGTCTTCGGCGTGCAGCGTGCTCTGGTCCGCATAGCTCCGGTCCATAGCATTCACCATGTGAGTCATCTCCTGCCGAGTGTTGCCCATCGCGTCTTTGCGCTTCTTAGCAAGCTTACTGCAAGGCAGATAGGAGAGGGAGCCCTGAGTACAAGGCTTGACTGAGATCCGACACCGGCGATAAGTAGCTCAAGTGCGCCCAAGGACAAGATTGCAAACGTGGATTAGAAAACCCAAGAACTGGTTATAGTATCAGGAATTGAGTTGACACTCAAACAAGTACATTGGTTGGTTTCTGCAAAACTATGCCACTTTTCAGTCAACATTCAAGCTGTCAACACAAACCTCTCATTGTTTTCTATATTTCGTTCTGTTAAAAATAAATCTCCTAAGAATAGAACTACATTTATCAAAAGTCTAAGCACTTCCTAAGTAGAGCAATTGAAGGATGACTGAAACTAAAGTTAAGTTTTAATCATTCTGCTAGGTGACCAATTCCTTTGATCAACTTTTGAAAGTTTTTCTTGAAATCAGTGTGCCCTAAATTTGTTTTATGGTGGCCACCCAGAGAAAAGAAGACAAAGGGAAGTCCTATTCTGACCTGATGGCACATGAATGTAATCCCAGCACTCAGAGTGGTGAGGAAAGAGGATTACATGGTCCACCCCAGTCTGCACAACTTATGAGGCCTTATTAAAAAAAAAAAAAAAAAAAAAGCCTGAGGTGTAGCTCAGTGTGAAGGCCATGGGTTCAGATACCCAGTAGTGCAAAAATGGCTCATTCTTAATTTTCCCTCTGCTGTTACTGAGTAAAAAAGGTAACATGGATAGCACTAACTTCTTTAACAACATATATACAAGATTAATAAAAACCTAACCTGAAGTTTTAAAATCAACCACAGCACCATACAGTTCAACTACATATCAATATAGGGGGTTAAAGCATATATGTGTAAGAAAAGTTCTGAGAAAGATGTAGATTTCTAATGGAAATTATCACCATCCTGGAGTACTGATATGGCCCATTCCTGTAAATCAGTGATGAAAAACCCTATGAGAAAGTTTTCACAACAGACATGCCTATGAACATCACAGGGTATAATAACTGAGAAGATTTAGAAAGGAGCAGATTTTATATTCTGAGCTACTCAAATAATGATGCCTCTATCTTACAAATCAAGAATGGAAATTATATTTTGCTGTTATGTGACTATTTCATAGGACACATGCATGGAGAAAAGAACTATTAAATGTATATGAAATATTTAAAATCACATTAACTAGGCAACTTATTTATGACACAAAAACACTGTAAACCTCTGTGGTAGGCAAATTATTAAAGTAAGTTTACGGCAGTAGTTATGCTGTCTTGGAAATGTTCTTGTTCTAAGAACATCATTTCTCAGCTAGATTGTGAAGTTAAGATAGTCTCTTCTGCTCCTCATTAGGGTCTGTGCAGGAGTAAATGCATTACTAATACTACAAAGGCTCATTTAGTAGATTCAGTTCATGCCCAAAGGCTTTGAAGTTAAAAAATTAATCTAGCAATTTGAGAACTGTTCCAGTGTTTTTATCCTCTGAGAATTGTACCACTTGTCCTCATGGGGCATGCTCAAAACGCATGACATGTTAATGTAATATTCTGGTACCAAATAAGACAGTCACAAACTAAAACTTGGAGAGAGAGAGAGAGAGAGACGACCCTACGTTTTAAAGAAACAATTACCATGAGACTAATAGTCATATTTAAGAACACAAGGACAATGTATACCACCACCACCACCACCACCAAATGGTGACCTTCATGGGCAGCGTCTGCTTTCTACCCCAACACAGCTATTCACCCTTCTGTTAGTCTAGGAGGTGAAGACTGCAAAACACTGCCAAGCAGTTTAGGAGTAGCTTGCCTAAGTGACGACTGGCCTTTAATCTGAGAGTTAAAACTCAGAGCTAATTGCTTTTCAAAGGCAAAACCATTCTAAATGTTTATATTAGCTTTCCTGATTTTTTGAAGTGGTTTTACTTTTTGAGACAGTGTGCGGATTTAATTAAATATCACCAAGTCATATTTAGTCTACCAACTTTCATTTTTCAAACGCTTCTAGGTCACCACTGTTTTTGCATCTACAACTTTCTCTGGCCTGTGATATTTGGTTAAGAGCCATCCACTCTGTTTCAGCTAAAAGATGTTCTATAGCACCATGTTCTCCCTTTGTAATCCCACATATCTTTACAAGTGCTTTTCAACTGTTTTCCCCACTGTGTGCTTCATGAAGAGAGAGACCATCTGTGTATATGTATCTACTTCGATATCTGTATCAAAAGAGATACGATTTATCTCCTGGGCTGTTGGAGCAGCACCTGTCAAATAGCCGGCATTCAGCAAATACTTGTTGAATAGATAAATTATGCTATGTGCTGTTATGTGTGTGGCACTTTTCATTTGTTAACTCAATTCTCAGATCAAGTGACTGAAAACAGGATAAGGGTTCTTCTAACCATGCAGATGAGTTCACTGAGGATTAGAGGAATTAACCTTCCCAAGGTTGTTTCTGAAGAATGACTTGGTTCCGAAGCCTAAGCTCTTATTTTATGCTCTGATGCTTACACTGCTTTTACTGCCACTTACAGTGTCCTATGTTAAAAGCACCGCATATCTAATTGTTAAACACTGGTTGTTACACATTAGAGAGGAAAATGAAGAAGTCACAAATGTGTCCACATGTGTAAATTTTAAAAGGTAGAAAAATGCTTAAGCAGTAACTATTTCTTGGGTAAGAAGAAAGAATGAATTTATTGCTCAAAAAATAACGTGAGAGAACGAGGTGGATTGTAACAGCACACCCTCAAGTTTGGATTCAAAATAATGTTAAAAATTTTAAGATGATGGCCATATAGAAAATAGCAAGTAGAAATGACAACTTCTATGATACTTTCAAATATGTATAATTTACATGTATTCCATGATTGGGGAAAAATGAAGAACTAATGAATTTTTCAAATGCATGGAAAGTGATAGTTTTCACTCAGTGAAGAACTCTGACTTTTCAGGTTCACAAATTATGATTAGCACACAAATTATGCGGGCACCTTTGGAGACTCCTGTCAGCCAGGCGCCGCTGGCTGGGTTCTTGCATCTCAGTACTCAGGACAACCCTGTGAGGTGGGCTTTCATTTGCATTACTACAGAACAAAGACGACTTCACACCAGTGTCAGGTGTTTCCATCCGCGACTGGCAGTTACAATGACGATGCCCATGAAGATTAGCCCGAAGATCACACGTGCTTTTCTTTATTTCTGCTTTAGTGAACTTCTACTTTCATGAGGAAGTAAGTCCCTGATTCAGATCAGCGTCAACAGGTATGTTTAATCAGCCCTTACACACATAGCTCTGTGAGCTTCTTTCTAGTGAGGATTTAAAATGCCAGGATAGCTAAGTATCACCATAGTGCTAGCATGGCCTGCTGCATTGCCCAGAACTCAGAAATGTGCACCCAGCCTCCAACGAGGGAATCCCAAGCTAGTTTTGCAGATACACTGATGGTGAGTGGTAGACTTTATTGACATTCCCATAATTAAGCACTTGTTGATTCCAGTATGTCTCATGCTTTGTCCTCCCATGAGCAACCAGCATTTATAATGTGCACTTCGGGACAGTTAAGCAATTCATTTTGCAAGCACTGGAGTCCTACAATACACAAATGCCTTTCACTGTCTAAGCAGGCAACCGCGTAAACTTCTGCAGGTGGATGTGTGGGTGGGCCACAAAGGGAAAAAGCACTCCATCATTGTACGAGACAGCACAGTTAATTACCTTTGGCTTCATCGCATCTGATTTAACAAGCATTTTATGATTCACCACAATCAACTAGGAGCCATGTTCATTTACACCTGCTTGTTTTAGCAGATTTTAGGAAGCCAAACCAAGTTTATAATATTTAAAATGTTGGCAGAATTGTATTACACTGGTTGGTTCATAAAAGTTTGGTGTTAAGGTAGCTTACATTTTCCTAGGGATAGAAATGCCGTGGAATATATGCCCGGAACATATTTAAACTCTGAAAAACGTTATATTGGATAAGTACTCCGATATCTAAACTCATAAACAAAAAATGACTCAGAAAATAGAAAGGACGACTGTCTCCTTCCGTATGAAAATGAGCTTCCCATACCTAAGTCTAGAATGTCACAGACTCTGAAGAGAAACTAAATACAAGCCTTGTTCCTCAGTTTGTTGACAAGAAGACTTTTAGCCTTGGTTTTACAAATTCTTTGTTTTATTTAAATTATAATAAGCAAACTCAATTATTTTATCTTACAATAATATTTATTTATTTATTTTGCCTTTGCAACACTGTGATTTTATTTATTTCATGGCCAGAGCAAAGGAGTTCAGAAGTTATAGCCCATCCCGGATTCCTGGAAATATGGAGAGAGATGTTATTACATGCAGACGGACCGGATTTGCAACCTATGAAGGCATTTTGAATGTTTTATGAATATAGCACACCGCTCATTTTCTCAGCTATGATACTATATAATGATAGGGATTTGGAAGTTATGATAACTTTCTCTAGAAAATGAAGAAAGTATCCTAAACAAGTCACAAAAGTGAATTAAGTAAATGAAGGATTTTTTTTTGCTACAGACTAAAGCTACTTATAGAAAACTGTACATAAAAATTAAAAGTAGCTGAACATACAGAAATACAATATCCCTTTTAAAAAAGGTAAACAGAATAGATAATAGTTTATCATTTTAGAGTCCAGAAAAACGTGTTTTGAAATATCACTAAAGTTACCAACATTGCTTCTCTGTATTTTTGAAAAGGGATACTGCACCTCCAACACACGTAAAGTCCGACATTACCCATTTCTACTTACAGGTAGTAGGAGTAAGAATAGTAGCTCCTCCTGGCAAGCAAATCACAGACAGTGGAGAAAGAGAAGCAATGGTGAATGAAAAGCATGATTCTGTCACATTCAATAAAGCAGAAAAATGTGCGTTAAAAATAAAACAAAATAAAATAAAATTAATGTTCTTTGCTCTGCATTTGAACTTGCTCATGCATTGTTAGATTTTTTAATTTTTTGCCATGCAATTAAACAGACAGATATGCAGCAGAAAATAAAATTTGAAATACATAATTCGGGAAAAATAACATGCTGCCATTTCTTTTATTGCCAAAAAATCAAGAAATTAAATGGATTATGTATATTCAACATGCGCTTAAGCATAGTACCATCCATTACCATCAAAATGTCATGACAAATGGAACAGCTGTGTACAGAAATTGTATACTAAGTAGACTGTTCTTCTTTCCATATAAAACATCATGACCTATTACGTTAATATAAAATATATGCAGAGTAATACCTAAGTTTATATAAATAAGTCATATCTTAATGGTACACGGTATATACATTTATTTTATGTGAATATACACATATGTACCATACACCATATATAGGCAAGTAAATTTCTACAGTAGATGCATGTGAACAGATACACAGACATGTACTGTACTGAAACACAATTTCAAATTTATGTTTGGAATTAATGTGCTCATGCTGTGCATTTAAAATATAATATGCAATCAATCAATGGAAAAATGGCACACACTTGGAAATAATTCACAGCAATTAAATTAAAAATGACATCATGTCCTGAAAGATGCAATATCCCTTTTCTCAGCCTAAAAACTCACTTTCTATATCACTCAGCTTTTAAAATTATACTCAGCTGAATCCCAAACCACTCCTTTAGAAAACAACTAAAACACATGAAACTTTTTCAACATGAGAAATGTCTATATATGTCATTCTAGTTGAGGAATAAAGTTATGAGAAATTGAAAAATTTCTCATAAAATGCAAATAAAAGGCTAAAATATGCTGCTTTTCCACTATTTTATTATAAATGTGTCATTAAGAAGGGCAACTATTGCACTTATTAAATTTTAAAATAAACTGGTTAATATCCAATGCTATTACTTTTTATAGGATAATAAACATCTGTGTTTAAATCATGCATGATTCAGGTGGGACACACACTATACATGGACAGAAGCCATTACAAAGTTGCTTAGTTGAGTTAGGAGTTCAAGTAATTTTGACATATTATATGTGGAGAGGAACTTTTCCATCTATAAAATTTCAACTTTCCCTAGTCATAAAGATGCTAGTGAGGAAGAGATGCTAAATCCCTTCATAGTTTCTATTGATTAACATATAATTATGAAAATTTAAACATTTTAAAGAGATTGCTTTATCTAATCCTGTAAAAATGAGAACCAGAAAGGGAATCCATGACATATAGCTTTAGAGAACATATCCCCAAAATCTTGCTCCATGATTATTTTAGCATAAGTCATAAAGATGCTAGTGAGGAAGAGATGCTAAATCCCTTCATAGTTTCTATTGATTAACATATAATTATGAAAATTTAAACATTTTAAAGAGATTTTTTTATCTAATCCTGTAAAAATGAGAACCAGAAAGGGAATCCATGACATATAGCTTTAGAGAACATATCCCCAAAATCTTGCTCCATGATTATTTTAGCATACTTCAGAAAGTTTATTTTTCAAGATTTTTTTTTTTTTTTTTGCTCTAGAACAGAGAGCCATGTATATGGAGAGCTACCAAGTGCGTAAGTGTTTTTGCATGAATAACAAATAAAACTTTGTTTAATTCAATTCTGAGGGAGGTCGTAATCACAAAGCATGTACTTTCACGCTCAGATTCCATCTAAAATGATCAGATTAATTGTAATTGTGAAGCCAACGTTAGTTGACTCAAAGTTCAGTCTATTTGATTCTTCAATTACATAAACTTAACAGACATAAAATTTTAATGTGTTATTCTCTAACTTTATTGATCTTTATTAGAAAATGTGTATTTCTAAAACCCTTCCGTCTTGCCTCACATCTGATATAAATTCCAACCACAGAGGCGTACAGCAGCAAAAAGAGAAAGCACTATTTGGGGAAAGCACGTAGGTAGCTAATTTAACACAAACACTATAATGCATACCTAATGTTTCTAATGCAGATGTGTCTTCTCCAACATATATATCTCCAGGGGGTAATTATAAAGAGGCAATATATTAAAAAACTCTCATGGAATTGTTAAAACATGTATATGAGTTTTATGTACCATGTTAATGCTTTATTTCAAATATTAAATAATTAAAATAGTATAGTACTACGTTAATGTAATAAACAACATCACTCAGTATATTATAGCGCTCATAAAATATAACCACATCTATGAAGAAAGATGTTGGAATGTATACTGCATGTAAAGACTGTAGTAAAAAGTCCCTCTAAGTTGTAGTACTGCCCAATGATTGGACAGATTGGAGTGCAGTACTAGTTCCTAAGACAATGGTTTACAGATTAAAACATTTTATATTGTGGTCAAAGCTCAATTATAAATATTGTATACTTTGAAATGATTATCAGCAGGAACATAGGATAATCTCCAGAAGACAGCAGTTTAAATTTGAGAAAGCCTTAATATCTTCATGTAATTCCAGAAGATGGCAACGTTGGTTGAAATAGGATAAAAAGCAATGTTCAATGAAACATTTTACTCTTCATGTGAAAATTTTAGTCAGTGAATATTTAATATACAAAGTAATTTAACATTGTTTATATTTTTCTTATATCCTATTTGCAGACAACCGTGAGAAAAAATATGAACTAAGAATAAGAACACCACATAAGTCAGAGGATAGCCCAAGAATCACACACACAAAATCCAAGCTTTTGTCATTCTTAATAACACACCAAATATAAGGAAAATTAATGTCTCAAGTACCTCTTCTCTTTTGACCTTTACGTTTTTACATTAATTTGAACATTAACAAAGAGAATACTTCTACACCCCAAATTTAATTGCAAATAACCATATAAGAACTTATGTAAAAAGCATATGTAATAGAGCAGGTACCAGCAACCTTGTTAAAATGAAATTATTCCATTGGATTGTTCTAACTTAGCAGAAACTGAGGAGAACGGTGCCTGAGAACTAGTGACATCCGTGTAAGAGAGTGGGACAGGCCAATCTTACATCTTACCTCTTTTTCACAATTAATATGACGAGGAGGAGGAGGAGGATGAAGACCAGAATTCCAGCGCTGATCCCTGCTATTTTCACTACTCTGTCTGTCTGCTTGGCTGGATCTGGGATCACTTCTGGTTCTTCTGTTGCTGCTGCTAAACGAATCAGAAACACAAATTACTGAAAGCAGCTAATTATTATAAAAGAGAAAATTACCTCCTAGCCCAAAGTTACTATAAAAAGACACGCTTTAAAAATTTGTTCTGTAAGTCAGAATACAAAATTTGTAGCTAATAATACACTGGAAAGAGATGGGGTCAGATTTAGAGATCTGTTCATCACCTCGTGCAGCAAACCCCTCCTGACTCCCGTGACGTGTGTGCTCCGTGCTGTGGGGCAAGGTAGGCTACACCCAGCTTCGACACACTGCGTTAGTTAAATAAATGCTTAGTCCGCCACCGGGGACACGGGGAAAGAACTCCACACACAAGATTTAAGATGCACTGTAGGTTAGCAGACAGGAGGAAAAGCAGAACAGAGACATCCAAGCAAGCTGCACATTTACTTAGGAGATTCCAATGGTGAACTTGGGGAATAGAAGTTGGAGAAGGTGATTATTTTCCCAATTCTTTGTAGACGCTCCCTTCCTTTACTTCCCTCTTCCCTCCCTTCCTCCTTGCTTTCTTCCTCTTTTTCCTTTTCTTTCTCTTCCTTCCTTCCTTTCTCTTTTCTTCCCCCTCCTTTCTTCTCCCCCCCCCAAAAAAAACCCACCTTCACAAGCCTTATCCCAAAAGGAACACAAACAAAATAAAAAATTGTAGAGATTAGAAAAAAATTACAAATATATAAGCCCGAGGAACTCTCTGAAGACAGTTTCCTTTCTCTCACTTACCTTGAACACTGGCAAAGAAAGCAGTTTCACCTGCACCTTACTCATACAAAAGCCTTGAGGCTTAGAGAGTGAAGAACAGATTATAAACTGCCAGAGGACAGAGACAAAATCTAAGACATCGTCAATATTGTTACACAGTTTCCAGGACTGTGGACCCTACTGTCAAAACCGTGTGTGACAAGAGGCCAGAGGGTTTTTAAGATTAGGCACATATGGGAAAAACACTCAAGTATCTGTCAGAGCCCCTTGCAGCTGGAATGAACAACTACACAAGCCAGGCTCTAGATCTCAGCTTCTATATTTCAAATGGACAGTGTGTATGTTCTCTTTCAAAAGTCATCCATCTTTAAATTCAGCTTCCTCTTTTGACTTCTTTTCTCCTAACTCCAGCTCTGCACAGGTAAAGGTTAGCTCCAGTTTCCCCACCAGCCTGTCAGAAGAAGGCTGAGAGGGTTATTTTTCCCACGTGAGAAGTTTAAGGGTAAGTTTATCTAACACCGTTTTATAAAATGGTGATATAAAGATAGACTGGTGGGGCCGGGCATGGTGGCGCATGCCTGTAATTCCAGCACTTGGGAGGCTGAGGCAGGAGGATCACTGTGAGTTCGAGACCAGCCTGGGCTACATAGTGAGTCCCAGGTCAGTCTCAACTACATAGTGAAACCCTATCTCAAACCTCCCCCCAACAAAAAAAGATTAGTGGGAAAGATATAGTTTGAAAAACAATCCATTAGGACACAACTGTATAAAAAAACTCACTATATCTCTCTTAATTTATTCTGTTTAATTTGCACAGGATGAAACTTTCGTATGGACCAGTAATTGTTAACAATATTCTCAAGCAAGCTTTCAGCTTGTATTTCTTTTTATTTTTCCGGTAGGCAAAAGGAGCTTTCCTTTATGACTTGACACTACCTAAACGTAAGATATAGTTTGAAAAACAATCCATTAGGACACAACTGTATAAAAAAACTCACTATATCTCTCCTAATTTATTCTGTTTAATTTGCACAGGATGAAACTTTCGTATGGACCAGTAATTGTTAACAATTACTCTCAAGCAAGCCTTCAGCTTTTATTTCTTTTTATTTTTCTGGTAGGCAAAAGGAGCTTTCCTTTATGACTTGACACTACCTAAACATACAAGCTGCAGGGATTTCAGACTTTATGAACAGGCATCACTCAAAGTTTACCACACTGTGACCTATGGTTCTCAATCCATCAAAACATACAGCAACTATATTGGCTGTCTCTTTCATCTACTTTAGGAATACACACATATCTAATGCAGTATAGCTATAAGTACTGAAAACAGTAGAATACATTCCAAAGTTGGCTATAAAATCTAAATGCATTTATTGTTTGTAACTTTCACATTAGATTGGTTTGACACTGATACTTCTAATGGGACTGGAAACAGAATGTCCTATGTATAAAATCTCTGGATGAGACTTTAGTCTGTGAAACAAACCCTCACTCTGTTCATCAAAGCCCACTCACACCTGGTTCTATGTCATGCTTTCCTTTCAGAGGCCAGGGGAGAGATCACTTTGTGATTTTCTTACAAAGTGTGACTTACAGAATTAAATGTTTTTGACCAATTTTTTGTGAAAATCAGTTCTTGTTTGATGAGGTCAAAATTTTAAACACAACATTTTAATTCTACAAAACATGGTGTTGTGGAATAATTTTCTAAAGATAGTATGCCATATTTAGCATGCTATATAAGAATGTTCATGACTGCTAAGATCCACCAGAAATACATAATGAATAGTAGCTTCAATACACCCAGGCTTAATAATTAAATAATAAAACAAATGTGAAGGTGCCAGATAAACAATTTCAAATTCAGAGGAAGAAGAATATTTACGGTCTTGTTGGTAATACAGACTTGCTAAGAATTTAGCTAAACACATTCAGATAAATGAAATGCCAAATCTAAGCAGGAACCTTTGAAAAGAAATACAAATTAATTTAAGGGGGTATTCAGAGTGCACAACATTCAGACTATCATGGAAACAGCACCCTTGCCAATAAGGAGAAGTGGATAGAAGGGTGGGGAAGGAAATGGGAAAAAATATTACTTAAGATTTATCATTACAGGTACAAAGTCCAAAGGATGGATGTGATCATTATGGATATCCAAACTGTATCAATAGACTTAACGATAAAGAAGAATGTATTATGTAAATCCATGTCACTCCCTTCAAGTGCTGGCTTATGACTTCACTAAAGCCTGGGCTTCGATCCATATTTACGAAAAGATTAGAAGGAATAAAATCACCAAGTTCATTTACTTGAGTTGGGCAAAGGAGTTTTGTCTGTCACGATTACAGTTCCTCTGTAAAGGGGTATTTATTGATCCTTAATAAAATTACTGCAAGTGAGGGTACAAAGTGAATCAAATTCACCCAGGGCACATGATCTGTTAGCAGGTGCTTTACCTTGATCGTGAAGCCTCCTCAGAGTTTTCCGTTGTATCATTCATTATTATTGTTACTCCCAACAGTATGTTTAATACAATACGTGCATCAATTTATTACGTTGAACACTTTAATTACCTGTAGTTTTCTACTAGAACCAAGGAACATGAAAAATCTTATTTAAAATCATTAAAGTTTAGAGGAAATATTCATGGAAATACAAGTAGTGACCTTGAGCGAGTATATTCTATTTTCTTCAAAGAGAGTAAAATGCAATTATAGTAGTTGACCCAGTCTGTAATTTATGCATGTTCACACAGACAAGGTAGAACACCTTTTCCAGAAATGGCTTTGCTTGCCATTAATCTTTACCTTTTTTTTAATCTGCCTAAGAACATCTGGAGAATTCCCCCCTATTCTTAAGCCAAGAGCCATATTCTTTGTACAGTGTGAAAAAGTAAGACAGCAGAGTTTCATTTTTACTTAGCAAATTCACAAATGCATTTCTTGAGGGGAAAATAGCTAATGTCACTTTATAAGTCATGTCCTTGCTGCTACTTCTTAAAAATAACATTTTAAAGTCATACAAATTTAACTGAAAATTTAAAACTAGTAGCTATGACCAAACAAAATCTTCTGCCTTCATGATGGCCATTAAAAGATGAAAGACTAAATAGAACATAGGTGATCATATGGTATCTTCAGAGGCATTATTACTCAAATTCTGCCAGTCCTCCTGGAATTTCACTAATTCTTTCTTCCCTTCTCAGGTGCATTTCTGAATAACTGCTCTCATCCCCATCTCAAAAGTTCATGACAATTCCATAACCAGGCATCTGTTCCCCAACACGAACAAACCACCGTCAGCAATGGCTTACTAGCTCCTAATTTCAGGTGGGCCCGTTTCTCTTCTTTCATACATCCTTGGAAAACACCTGGCATTTTTCTCCTCTCCTTCCTTGCAGTACACTTTTCCTGGGGTTCCCACTCCTTGGGCATCTCCTTATTTTCTTATGATTCTGGCCTCTCCTTTCCAAATCTTTGTTTTTCCTTCCTACTTTGCCCAACTCTGAAAAGCAGCTGCCCCTCTGAGTGTTTCTGGGACTTTGGATTCTTGACAATGATTTTCATACTTGCTGGCTTGATGATCTTTCCTTCCAGGAACTTTAGGTATCCGTGTGGATCACTACCAAATGAATACATTTCTAACCTATTTGAACTCTTGACCACACATAGTCTCCTGATGTTATGCCTTCTCTTTACCACGTTAGTCATCTTAAACACACCACACCTGAACTCTGAAACTTTTCTCACCAGTTCTGCAGCCCCCTCCCTTTCTCTAAATGACCAAATTATCCACAGAGCTGTTCATTCTAGAAACTAGGGCACTATGTTTTACTCCTCTTCCCTCTTCTATCTCTCAGATGGATTAAAATATATACTATTTTAGATGTTTTTCAAAGTGAGAGGGGAGACTCAATAATTATGAAGGGACTAAAAGCAGAAGTGTAACTGTCCTGACTAAGCATGGTTATTTTACTACTTTCTCGTGTAATTAGCAACAAAGACATACTGCATCCTCTGTATCTTGTCTCCCAGTTTTCCATCCCTACTGCTACTCTCTGAACACAGGTCAACAGCTTCTCTTACCCAGATAACGCCGCTGCTGCCTATCTGAACCCGACTGCAGGCTCTGCCTACTCCACATCAAAACATACCTGACAATTCACTTAGAAAACATCACTTCACTGAACAGAGCCCTCCACTGGTAAGATACAGTCCATGAAAGTATGAACCATGTCTAGTTTGTTCACCATTGTATTTCCAGTAGGCCTTGGAA